TCGAGATGCAGTCGCAGCCGCACTTGACCCTTCCTGCACCCGCTGCTGCTGCTCTCCCCGCGTGTATACGGTACATCGGAGTTGGTAAAAATCGCAACCTGTGCGATATACTAGAGAGAGAGAGCCCCACGTTCGTCTCGCACGGCGCATCTCCGTTGTACGGGGCTATTAGACGATAACCATTGGCTTGGCCTTGCTGTGTGTAACGTCGACGCGAGAGCATAAGGTATAAAGTTTAAAGGCACGACGACGTGGAGTCGTCGTATAGTCTCGCGGTTCGTTGCTGCATTATTATATTCGCGGTGTAGTCTGTGTGTGTGTGTGTGTCTATAGCCGTGCCTGCGCAGAGAGCAGCAGCAGCAGCAGCGATGCGGCGGCGTCGGCGGCGCGGTGTATTGAACTCGGCGCAACGGGGTCGTTAAACCCGAGCTGCTGCTGCTGGCGCGAGCCGAGCTCGGAGTTCTGTGGCCTGTGCTGCTGTTGCTGCTGCTCTCTGCGCAGGCCCCGAAGTACATGTGTGTGTACGTGTGTATGCACATTGCCGCGAGCTCGGAGGCTCGCGCGCGCATGGCGAACTTGTGTATTATGTTAGATAGATATATATATATTGGCGACGACGACGACGACGACACGTCACTCTCTTCACCACGTATATAAAGACGACAACTACGACGTAGATCTATGAGAGCATTGTTTTCCTTGACCCGTGATTCTCTTTCTCCGATTTTCGAACGAATACACCATACATTCTCATTGTTATAAGAACCGAAGGAAGGGGGCTCGTCGTTGGGCTGTCAAATCGTAATTACATGTATCACCAATGGGTGCCGAGAGCGAGTAATGCACAGGTGGCTGGAAAGAAATAGTCTCTCGAATGCACGAGTGTCAATTCTCGTCGTACAAAAAAAAAAAAAAACACGACCTCAGCGCTGAATTGCATTTCGAAGCTCGACACGAAAAGTTGGAGAAAAAAGAACGCATAATAACAACGCAAGGAGAGCGTATTTTGATCGAGGCTATTCGGTCTCGTGAGAGCGAGCCTATCACGAAAATTACATTTTGCGCGGGTAAACGCAACTCGTCATTATATCTTGTGTCTGTGTGTGTGTGTGTGTGTGTGTGTGTGTGTACGCTCTCGATATCATGTGTGAGTATAATACACATAATACCTGCGCGGATTAGTGTAATAATCATTCTGCGGGACGAGAGCAAAGGATAATGTTTACGACGATATCGTGTGTATATAATAGCGTATGTATACGCGCGAGTTCGTTGCACTCTCGAGAGCGAGCGAGCGAGCTTCGAATATATATAATGCAAGGCGTGAATCGGCCGCGGAGAGATGCGGTGATGGTGACCTTGCGGCGGTGGTTCGGTGCTGATCGACCGCGAGAAAGTAGTATAGTGGATGCGAGATTCGTGATTCACACGACGCGTCTAATGTGATTTCTTATTTTTCGAATGAAATAAAATTGAAATCGAGCCGATCGTGTGTCTAAAGAACCAATTTTATTGAACATAAAAATTAAAAAACATTCGAAAGTTTGACGTTTCCCGCATGTGCGACTGGCTCGAGAAAAATTTCGTTCGGGAATTATTGTTTATATCAATGAAGAATCAAAACAGAAATACGACGTAAAACACGAGGCTCCTCGTAAAAAGTGTTAGATACAAATTGTTCAACGCGTCTGCCACCGCTGCCTCGTGTGCACTTGTACGCTGCACATAAACGTTATATACTTACTCGACTCTCTCTCTCTCTCTCACTCTATATATATAATAAACTCCGTACTTGGGTTATATATCTGGGACATACCGGGGGAGTAATATCGATTGTCGGATCTGGGTCAGGCCTCGTTGCCGCTGCGCCGCAGCACACTTTTGCCTTCCACGTTTCATAACGTAAGCGCAAGTGTTGTTGTTGTTGTCGTTTGGAGGGGGAGGAAGTTATTTTGAATATATGGCGTGCATTCGTTTTTCAGCACTCGCGAGCTATTCGGGATAAATATGTCTTATCGCGTGATTCACACACGCACAATCGGAAATGCGAATGTATTGTGTAACGAAGAAGAAGAAAAAATGAGAGAGAGCCAAGACTCTGGCTCGTACATCGAGTAAAGTTAAAGAGTCGCGAGAAGAAAAATGAAAACGAAAGTGACACCTGCTCCTATTTTTCGAATACCACGACGACGAGGTGTCAACTGCTCTTTTGTTGATTATTTGTGACACGTATACACGTACAAACACGCGGAGTTGCCAAAATAAACTTTCGACGACACGACCGCGCGCCGATGATCGGAGCGAGGAAGAACGATCGTCAGCGTGTAAATAAATAAAAGAGTCAACTGCCTGCAGCCGTTCGTAAAAATCGGATAGGCCGAAGAAAAAAACGATACATTGAATTCAAGTTTTTACTTCTTATTTAGGTTTGGACGAAAATCGACCTATAAAAAGCAAAGCAAAAAAAAAAAAAACGTGTCTATATACGTGCCCGGCTTTTCAGGAGACACTGCAGCTGCTATACAGAGCACATTTGTGCGCGACGCGTCTTCAAAGAACTCGAGCCTCTCTTTACATCCGTCTCTCTCTCTCTCTCTCTATTGCAGCAGTGCATCCACACACAGACAAACGAGCGTCGCGCGACGACGACGACGACGACACACATGCATGTGCTTCATCTGGGTCAATGAGCGCAATGCAAAAGATTGTATATGTACTCGTGTGTGTAAGTACAAACGCCGAGGGTTGTATGTGTGTGTGTGTGTGTATGTAAAACACAGGCCCCCGCTTCACAGAGATCGATATTTTTTCCCTTATATAAAACGCGAGTGCGCGTGCTCTCTCGCTCTGTCGTAATACCTACACACACAGATACGCTTATTTTCTATTTTATGTGTATCATTGTTTCGAGCCCACGTGATTTTAAAATTTCTAGACAGCCTGTCGTCGTCTATATAAACGAGCCCAATATCTTATAAAGGTAATACCGGAACGACTATATGAACGAGGAGAACGAACCGATTCATTTTTTCTCGATAAAGATCGAGTTGGTCCGTACTGTGGGCGTAGGGTCGAGAGTCGAGACTCGCTATTATATCGTGGCTGCTTTATTTTATTTTATTTTTTTTACCAATTTTTATGATTACGTTATTTATATCGATTGGGCAACGCGACACGGCTCACGACGGGTCACGAGTTTCGTGCCGCGGCTTTTCTCCCGCAATTCGATGTTGTATTATGGTACGATTGCTGTATATATAATAAAAACACAAACACGCGACAACGACGAAAAATCGACGCGGGGATACCTGTGGCTCGACCCAATTTGCTCGTTATACCTAAAAACAGCTTTTTCCTCTCGCAACGCTCGCGTTTTCCAGAATGAAGTGAAATGTTTTTATCGTTTGGCAATTTTTATGTACATTTGTTACGTATGGAAAATCTATCGACTGTTTGAAATGTTTATATTATAATACCGCACTCAGCTTTTGGTGCTTGCTCTGCTTGCCGTTATACGACGACGATTAGAAAGGTGAAGCGAGATAATCGCGTGACTTCAGTTTTCATCTCTGACCACGTTTGACAGAATAACATCTTTATTTTTTTTATATTTTTTAACAAAACTCGGTGAAGAGGTTTAAAAATAATTAGTTATCGCTGCCTAAATTTAAATTCCGCGACTTCGAAGAGATAATCAACAACAACAACAGCTAGCGGCAGAATCGATAGCCTCGTAAAATTTCGCAAGTCAAAATATACGAGAGCACGTGTATTATTATTATATAGAGAGCGAATCTCGAGCGCAGAAAATTCGGAGCAGCAGTTTGTACGATATATAGCCACTCCACGCCCCTGAAATGGGAATAATAGCGCAGAAGAGTATATAGAGTAGCAGAAGACCGATGCTGCTGTGCCGCCGCCACCACCGTCGTCGCTGTTGCCGCCATGCGATCGCTGCACGCGAGCACGTATGCGCTCGATCTCGCAATTGCAGACTGCCCGTGTTTACGTGCGACGTTAATATACGGCAAATTGAAATGTTTTTGTTCCGACGGAATAATCGCGCGAGTGTGAGAAAAGTTTCAAAATTCGTTTGTTGAATAAAGGAATCGATGGGACAGTCGTTTGATGAAAGAAAAAAAAAAGAGTAAGAGTGGTGGGATGACATTTGTGTCGATGCGAGTAGACGCGTATACGCTATATCGAGATTCAATTTATTGCCCCTCGAGCTGTCAAAGTAAGCGACGATGATACTTTTTTCTTCAAACGTCATCAGTTATCGAGCGTTCTATTGAGTTTCGAAATTTCTGTGTCTTCATATGCTTGGATCGAGAAAATTTAGGAGCAGAATTTTAAAATAAATTGATTTTATAAACGTTTTAATTGCAGGTCAGATGTGAAGTTTTTAGTAGTAAATTGTATCGTTTTGATGAATAATTTTAATATTTGTTTATGAATTTTTATGAAATCTTCATTTATTTGTTAATTGAGTCAAATAAACTTTACAAACTGTTAGGTCCTGCCATCTATTGTCTTTCAAATATACTAGGGTCTCATTAATTAAGTAAAATTTATGATTTAATAATTAAATACTTTATCTTATTTAAATTATAAAAGAATTAGAAATCATTTAAGAACATTCAATGAAGAAACAGAATAATTTACTCATTTATTGTTGAGCTTCAATCATTAATGTCTAAACTGACACTGTTTTACCAACTGAAGTTCTTAATGCGATAAATTCTTTATAAAAACTTTGGTTAAGAAATGGAAATAGTTTGTTTTACAAATTAATAGTAAATTATTTTAGGATTCATTCTATTATAAAGCATTAATGCAAATTCATTATAAAATATAGGTCATAAAATTGTTTAACTAATAAAAACCACTCATAAACAACGCACTATTTTGTAGAATGTATGTTACGCTAATTCTAGAACAGCGCAGTGAAAAGATTTAAATATGAAAAAAATGTATTATTAAAACAATAAATTACATACCATTGGTATGCGTTGAAGTGAAAATACACCAGTCCTAAACCATACAGGAAACAAGGGTCTCTCCAATAATCTTTAGATAACGAGTAAAATTTTTGGTATGCAGACATTGCTAAAAAGATCAATCAGAAATTATACATCTCATAAGTTGAATTTGTTAATTTTGTTAAAGTCTCAACAAACCTTTTGTATAATCTTCTAATAACAAGTGAAAATGTCCTAATTTACAATATGTTTTTGGGTCAATACTGATGATACCTTTGTCTTCTTCATCATCCTCTTTATCTTTACTTCCTTCTAAATTTGTTTTATTGCTATTGCTATCGACTTTTTTTCTGCGCTGCTTTTCAGATTGCGCTTGCACTAACATTCTCTCTAAATATTTGATTGCACGGACCACTAAGGCTTTCTTTTTGGTTTGTTCTGATGAATTCAATTTCAAGAAAGAAAATTGTCGACTGGAACATGAAAATAATTCATAGTTAATAAAGTTGTTTATCTGTAACATCATGCACACTTGTTGCATGTCCTTAACTATTATCTCATATTCAGTGGGAAAATAACATAACTCTTACAGCTTTATAGCTTTGTGTCAATTAAAAAAAAAAAAAAACAAAATAAAATTATTAGTACTCTAGTTCAATCAAATTTCAATGGAAGAATCTAGAATTCAAAATACAAAATTATTCCATATCAATATTGGTATACAAAGACTTTTCTCATTAAAAAATCTCATTAAAAACTCAATCGAACTGGCAATCATATGCAAAATGCCAAGCTCGAACTCGAGAAATAAACAAAAATGTCTGGCATGCTCAAATTGTTTCGAGCGAAAAGGGGCGGTTAAAACGTCACCCATGACTGGTTGGCGATACTAACCTATCTAACTCCGAAAGGGTTTGCAACTCCTGCGGCGTTAGATTCAATTCGTCCGGTTCTTGAGCCATCTCGCTCGTTGGGCTCTATTACTGGGCTGCGTGTCGCGTCCAAGACGCGAAAAAGCTCACTTCCCTCGGGAAAAGATAAATAAATGAACGCACTAACGCTAGGATAAACGTAAGCCACTTTTTGTGTACACAAAAACATGCACTTTCACCCGGATCGTGTCGAGCACTCGAAAACACAACTCTCTCTATATAGGCACTTTTTCAGCTCTCTCTCTCTCACTCACGGCTGTGCGTACACCAAAACATTTATAATAAATATACACTGTAATAACGGCCGTTAATCTCGGCGTTGGCGCCCCTCGATCACACGTAACATTTTGCACTGCTGATGGTCTCGTCGTTGCGGCCGCCAAGAATAATGCAATAACGACGACGAGGTAACGGCGATGCCATCGTCGCTTCGCTGCGATGATGCCTTATTTCGCATGCGAACGCGAACCTCTCTTTCGCTCTCTCTCTCTCTTTTGCTCTCTCTGGGCCCGGCTCTCGACGTCGCGGCGATGATAGTTATATATGTGTACTTCTTTTGGTGCAGAAAAAAAAAATACGACGATCTCGTGTGCTGTTTCCGCGCACACGCACGCACACGACAGCAGCCAAGCGAGCGAGCTTCACTACGTGCTCCGATGCGAAAGAACGAAATAAAAAAAGAAAAAAAAAAAGAAACAGCGGTCTATGNTGTTTTTTTTTTTTTTTTCCTTTTTTTTTTTTTTTTTTTTATTTCCTCCGCGCTCCGTTTTTCATAATTTTATCACGTATACACGAACAAAAATTCTCCACTGCACACTGGCACTGCACACACTCCCGGGGAAATTGCGTGGGTCCTCTCGCGAACGCGAAACGTTTGAATTTCTGCGATCAGATGCGATTCGCGATCCAATCGAACGCAACTGCGCGACGACGAGGCTGCTGCCTGTGTCCGCTGCGAAAATATATACCGGCGTGCAGACGAGGATCACGGAGTCTCGCGAATTTGCTCGGCTCGATAAACACAAATAATTAGACGAAAAATTGATGTGTGCGAGACTGTGTTAACCTCGCCACGGCGCGCAGGCAGGCTTTGTATTTTACACGACGACACAACGCGCAGAAAACGTAGAGGTTTCGGATACCGCGTGTGGGTATGTAAGACTGATGCACAACGTACGCGTGGCTTTCGTGCAATATTATTTTTGCATTCCGCGAAACGCCGTCCAGAGGGCGTGAGTCTGCGGTGTGTTTGGAGCGAGCGACGCCGAATCGTGCGTGTTAACTCCGAATTTCTCGAATGTTGTTTTCAATTTTTTAAATGTTTAAAAAATTCCCTATGGAAATGGCTTTCGATGGTGCTCAATGACGAAATGACGTTCTTGCAATAAGAATGCTATGGGGTAAACGTTGGCGAATTTTTCAATGTTTATCGCGTGAAATATTGCGAGCCGGCTTCGTAAAGATTTTTGCTATTCTGCCAAGTTACTCGTTGCAACAATTTAACATTTCGTAGCCTACTTCAGCTTTAATTAGCTTTAACTGTAACTTATTTTTACGCCTAATTATGCGAAAATGTTGTATTTGCCTCGAAGTTTTAGTTGTATAATAGTAATTCATGCAAAGACGTGAGTTTACTTTCGAGTTTCGTTCAATTTTGGCTTCGCACTTCATGATGCCAAGTTGGCAATCGACGATATGCACTTCATGTAAAATGCATTTTACGCGTACATGCGACCTCGTTCATATTGGTCACTTCTGAATGTATAAAAATGCATGTTTTAAAGTTGAATATGTGAATAAATAAACGACACGTTCTTTGGTGTATAAAAAATACTGGGTTTTAGATTTATTTCTTATTTTTATTGCATAAAAATAATGCGTAAAAAAGTTTTAACGATAAGATTTTTGGTAACGAGCACGAGCACCCGGACCACCAAACTTCTTGGGTTCGCACCTCCTGGGATCAGCGACCAAGAGAGTTCTGTCGTACTGGATAAGGATATCCTTGATTTCCTTCTTGCTTGCTTCATCAACGTCTAGAATTTGAAATAAACAAAATTATTTAGTGTGTGGTTATTTAAAGCAATAAAAATAATACTATTGGTCACTATAAAGTTATTATTTTAAATAAATCAAAATTTTTACTTTGACTTAAGCATTTAACAAAAAAAAAAAGTAAAGGCTCGAATGCTAAATTGTATGTTTCATTATGTGTTTTACGTATATTGTACTAATAAAATATAAATATTGCTTAAAATACTTACATTTCTGATAGAAAGCAACAAGAGATTTGGCAATTGCTTGCCTGATGGCATAAATCTGTGCAACATGACCTCCACCGTTCACTCTGACACGAATGTCAACATCCTGGAACTTGTCCTATAAAAAATACAAATGTCAAAAGACAAAATTATTAAACAAAGTTCATGCAGTTAGTTTTAAAAAGACATCAGAGAAAGTTTTTATTTCACATCGATTCATGTTCGGAATAAGTTTAACTCATCATTTTGCAATAACAAAGTGCGAGGTGACAAAAACAAACGGGTGAAGGTTGAAAAGTTACCTTGCCAAGAAGCAGGATTGGTTCCTGGAGTTTGTATTGGAGCATCTTGGGCTCGACGAGTTCCAAAGGCCTGCCATTGACCTTCAGGAGACCGGATCCTCTCTTGCAGTAGGCAACAGCCGTGGCGGTTTTCTGAACAAAAACAAATCAAAAATACACTATTAAAATACCGTACTCGAGTTGAATCCACGTTAACCTCAATCAAGCACAACAAGCACACTGGGTAAACTTACTTTACGTCCGAACACCTGGACGGATTGAATCTGAGGCTTCTTCTGCTTCTGAAAAGGAGCAAAGTTGATTAGCAAAAAGAAAAATCAAACAAAAAACGATCGAGCTGTCTTTGTTGTAAGAAATATTTACTTTTTGCTGCATTTTGAGCGATCGAGTCGGTCACACGCGCGCCGGGGAAAAGAGACGAGAAATCCTCGTGCAGCTGGAGGCGACACCGCCGTCGACGCGGTCGGCTGCGCAAAGTCTCGAAATTTAGGCACCATAAAGAGTAGCGCCGTACGAAAGTAATTAAAAGTACTTTTTGATCATTTTTCTTTTCGTATTTTCGTTCCATCTTGAAAAAATACTCTAAAACAATCTCGATACGATCGACGGCAAAATTATTTTTAGCTTTAAATTTCTTAATTTACAACATTCAAATAATTGATTTCGAACTTCGACTTATCCGCGCGACGAGCGGTGTCGCTCTCTACATTCGATATCTCCCAACACAAAACACAACAACGCAGAACGCTGCGTGTGCTAGACTGACCCGAGAGGACCCTTCTACCCCCCGCCGTACCCCCGTCCCACGCGCGGCTCTCTGCACAGCGATACGATATATACCGAACGTCGTCTCGGGTCGTCGCGAAAAAGTACATACACACATTTTGCGCTTCTGCGCCGTGCGCTCGCAATTGCACACAGAGTAGAGTAGTCTGCCACAAGCGTTTTTCGCGAGAAGGCACGTAACACATAGCAGCTGCACAGTAGCAGTTGTTATACGGCACTGGGCAAAAATCGTTGCGTCCAGTATACTGCTGCATAGCATATAGTGATCCCAAGTAGGACTCGAGATACCACAGGGTAAAGCCAAATTACCGAACGCATTCGCTCGCTATATAACTAATAAATAATAAAATAATAAATCTCTGTCTCTTTGATTTTTGATCGTGCTTGTGCGCGGCCGGGGATACTCTCGACCATTTTAATCTAAATCTCTGTCTCTGTGTTATAATATAATATTGTAAAAAAAAAAAGTAATGTTGGAGAGCGTGACGAGCATCTGCAAACGGTAGATCCTATTTTCAGGCCAACCAACGTTCTCTCTCTTTCTAGTCTAGAGCTATATATTATATATATGTATTATATGTTGTGTGTGTGTGTTTTAATACTGCATGCCTCACGCATCGTCATCCTTTATTTATACGGATCTCTATTGTTGCTCGCGACGTAATTGTCGCTTCTACGTGCGGGAATATCAATCGTGGATCGATCAATTTTTCTCGGGACGTACACAGCGAGAGACACACATCGAGAAGGTTCATCAACTCTTTGCAAACGAGAGTTTCGATTATTGATTCGAACGCGCGTCGGGGGTCGGTGCATTGTCGTAAGTGTGTGTGTGTGGGGCTGTTCTGTGCTTCAGGCTGCGCTGCTCTGCTCTGCTCCGCTTTACATTGACACACAAATGTAATAATCCTCTCTCGTTGCATGTAACAACAACACAACGAAGCTCCGCTGTTGCGCTGCGCCTTCGTCAAATATCTGTTTTGATACTCGCCTCGTCTTGCATTACCGAAATAAGTATCGCAAAAAGCTGAAATTACCTTTCGAACTGGCCTTCGAATATCGCGTTATGTACGTGCCTTGTGTTCACTCTCTTAGTCATACTTTATATTCGGACTGATTTGACGTGCCGTGCGCGAGGCAGTGGTACATTAAGCGACTGTACTGGCTTTATCGCGCTTATTAATTTTGCATCTTTATGATTTTTAAACTACATCCTTTGCACCGTTCGAGCTAATTTAGTAATATTTTAGAAAATTAGGTAGAATGCATTGGGGATCGTGCCCGAGAACCAGATGGAAAATGACAATTGTCGGAAAATATTCGGTAGATATTGTAAACGCGAGCGTAACTGAAGAATTGTCATTTTCGTATCTTGGCTTTTCTGTCTATTTTTTGAAGTTAATTGAAGTTAATTGCGCACAACTTGCTAAGAAAAAAAAAATACGAAACAAGCAGAAAACTTTTTTGTTGCTTGGTAACTGCTATATTCACAAACAATTTCAAAATTTCAAAATAGATTTGTCAAGTTTCACTAGGGTTAAAGTTTTGGATGCGATGACGAAATATTAGAGCAATACTTAGTTATTTCTTTCGTCATCAATCAAAATTAAATTCTAAATTTTTGAAAATTCAATATTATGTCAGGAGAATTATTTACTGATGCTAATAGGTATCTTTATCCTGGCGTACTATTGAGTTTGTTATCAAAAGTTGATGCATCACATTTTTTTCCTTTTTCTCAAAATCTTGTAAATTGTTTTACAGTCTTAAGATGAGTCTGCCCAATTCCAAGAAAGGCAAGGAAGATGCCAACAGGGAAGTTTCTGATGTGGCGAAAGATGCCAAGAGCTTTTTAGATAAAATCCTTGGGGATGTCAGCAAAACATCGGCCAGTAAACAAATCGCCATTGGAGCAGCTTCAGGATGGTAAGAATTATCAACATCTCATAACTTACAGAATCATAAATTAAATTATTAATTATTATTTGCAGGGCAACTGGCTTCCTGACAATGAAGGTGGGAAAAGTTGCTGCCTTTGCAGTCGGTGGCGGTATCATTATGCTTCAAATTGCTGCCAACCAAGGATATATTAAAATCAACTGGGATAAGATTCAAAAGAAAGCTGATAAGATTGCTGATAAAGTTGAAGAAAGGATCACTGGAGAAGGCCCTAAATTCATGGATAAGGTATTATTTTTGAAACTGCTATGTTATTATTTACACTGGTTACACTGAAGCATTGTTGTTGACTTTTAATTTACAAATCAATAATGCACTAATGCAATCAACACAACAATTCTTTGATGTTAACATCATTCATTGAAAAATACTAAACTCGCGGACATTATTGTATAATTTTCAGGTAGGAATGTTTTGTCGAACAAACCAATTTTTGGCTACCAGTTTTCTCGGTGGCTTTATTATTGGCATCGCCTCATAAGTGTTAAAACAATGAACTCAACGAAAAGAAAGATATATCGTGACGATAGCCGCACTTCTCTTACGATTTTCGAACAAGTGGAATGCAAAGCTTATAGATTCAAATTATAAAGTATTAGATTTCAAAATTCGAAATATCACTACTGCCTGTAAAAATATGTAATTCAATCTGATTATTGTTTGCTAAAGCAAATTATAAGCCTTGGCTTGCCTCTAAAATCTTAAAATCTGACCTCAATGAACTCATAAAAATTAGTGATCAGTAAATAATTTGACACTGACTGATTATATAACATTTTATATTATCTTATCATTTAGTTCACCAACACTTACATTTTTTTTATGTAAGACCAATTATGTCTATTGATAACTTTGGATTTAAAGCGATTTATTTAAACTCTCAAATTGATTCAATTGATACATTTGTATGATTATGCCAAAAAGTGAAATAGCTTAAGAAATTCTTAAGTACAACGAAAGCTCTTAGTTTTCATCTGTGTAATTGTAAATAGAAAATAAATTTTTTTTGCATTTTTAATGAGTTCTGTTGTATTGAATTTTTAGAAAATAGATCACCCTGGTTCATGTCTGGGGAAAAATATTTTTAAATGTTACCAATAGACTTTAGCTACACTAATTTTTGCATGTTTCATTTAATTCATAATATACAAACAAGATTACTAAATAATTATTTTACTCGATTAACTTTTAAATTTTTTATAAAAAACTTTTCCCCGGACAATAATGAATTCCTTGCAGATGGAGAGGTACGTCGACAAGAAAATGGACAAAGCCGAGCAGCTGCTGAAGAACGGCGAGACTCGAACCCGTCGCTGGTATCAGAATCTCACCGGCGGCGACAGCCACACGTCGTTCCGCACCCAGGAGCTGCACGTCTTCCTCGTCTCGTTCGCCGCGGGCGTGGCGATAGGGGTGGCGACGGGCAACTAGGTAAGCGACTGCTGCGCGCTCCTCTGGGACGCGCGCAGCAGCAGCAGCCGCAAAGCGTCGACCCTGCTTCAGCCGCCGCCCCAGGCGACCGACGCCGATAAGGGAGTCGACGTGCTCGACCAGATGATGGACATGTACGAGGACGCTAAAGCGAGATTTTTTGATTTTCGAGCTTGGTGCAGGGAACAACTGAAAGAGCACGTCTAAGAGCGCGGCGCGATCAGTGCGATTCGTCTGCCCTGCAAGTAACGAAGCGTTTTTCTATACTGTGCCTGTAGTTGGTTTTCCGATTAATTTTCCAAGTATCGTGTTTGTTTCAATGCGTTACAAATTATATTGAATAGATATTATGCGATAAAATGAACAAATTTTTTTTTTAAATATCTAACTTCACCTCTTGAAGGCTGTTTCGAGACTGATTTGTTATACTCGGATGAATTCATACTCATGATTAATTAAAGTATTCAATTGATTTTTATTAATATTTGATGATAAATGTTACTTAAAAGAGAGGCAAGAAGCCAACTACAGATGCGTAACATTCATGTATACACCACAAGTCAAAGGAATATACGAATGAGATTATAAGTTACACGAGCAACTTAGTTGCAGCTTTCACAGAACTTACTGATAAGTTGATCGTTAGAATAGAGAAAAAAATCCACTAATACAGATTCAGTTGTTTAACAGAAAATACTTTTATTATTTTACATCATTTCTTTAGTTATTAGCTAGTCTGGATTGACTTGTTTCAATCGCTTTACTCGTCGTCTTTCTTTTCGATAGGAAACTTAATCTTTCTCGCTCATACCATCTGCGATTAAAATGCATTTGGTATGTTATTATCATTCGTTTGTGTACATATTGTATTTGTCTATTTATAAAAAAAATTGCAGAAGCAATTTGATTATTTACTATTTACACTTTTTGCACCCTTAGTTCTCATAAGCATTAATGTGATTTGCTTGTACTTAGATTTGAGCAAAATTAAACATAAAGTTTGAATGGTAAACAATTAATAATGCAATATAATCACGTATTCACGTCAGATCGATAGATTTGCAGCAAAAAAGAAAGATTATGATTAATGGAGTATTTAAGCTTCTCAAATTACCACTTGTTGAATAATGATAAATAATGTAGCATTTATCTGTATATTAAATTAAATAATAAAATGTATAAGCCTTGAATTCTAAAGAGGAATTTCAAAACAATATGTATAGTTTCAATAATTAAATTACAATAAACGATGATTATTTACATAGTGTATGAAAAAGAGTAAAAATAAACTTTATTCTGTTTTACGAAGATATATTAATAATAGTTTCTTAAACACGTTTGAGGCACTGCAGCACACACATCCTTAGTCTTCGTCTTATTTTCAAGTCTCCATTGCAACAAATGAGCGTCGAATTATCGTGCAATTCAATTTTGGCATTTGAATCTTGCTACAGATGAAAATTTTGATTACTACAATGGTTCTCAATAGACAATTCATTTATATTTACAAAAACTCACCAATAATATTACAGCTGATTGAGGTGTACGCTGAAGTTTAGCGCCAGTTATGCCTTCCTGATTAAGTTTTTGAATAAGTACTTCGGGATTAATTGAACCAAATTCAATTCTTCTGCCTCTGAGAACATCCTCTTTAGATGGAGGTAGACCCTGTGTTTTACGTTTTCTTCCATTCCTTGATTCAAGATACTAAAAAATATATATTTTATAATTTGCCTGTCAATCTCAAGTCATGTGAAGAATTATTTTTAAATTGTACCTTCATTGTGTAAGTGTTATCCTTAACTTCAAGTTCTGCAGTAACCGTTGCCATACAAACACCAGGCCTTACTTCTACAGGTTTTATAGTTTCTGCCAAAGCAGGTTCAAGCAAAACTCTTGTTTTTTGTCTTCTAATAGGTAATTTAATTACTTCACCTCTGTTAAAAGTAATTAGCGGTTTATCCTAAAATCAAAATAAACGTAGTATGTATTGTACAAAGTTGAAAAACAAAATAGTAAAGATAATTTATTTTAAAAAATTTTTTCAACTGACCCCGATTGGTTCAATCACAAGGTCATTTCTGTGGGGCACAGTTAATGGAGCTAAAGTATATCGTTCTGGTACAACTAGATGATCTGGTTTTAAATCTCGTATAAGTTTATTAGCTTGAGAAAAGTTCAGAGAAGTATCAATGGGATAGTGTAATGCTTTCATAGCCATTGGCAAGTATGGTGCTAACAATTGCTCTATTACAAAATCCGGTTCTGTAATTATATAAAATTAGTATTGTTGAATAAAATGAAATAAAATTTGGTAAAAGAATATCAATATTCTGGAAAATTTTTTACCTGTAAATATCACTGTATTCAGAGGATTATTGCTCCATAATTGCATAAAATGAACGGCATCGCCAAATCTCAAACTTGGGTGGCCACAAAAAACAACGCAAGGCTGTCTGTATTCTGTACTAAAGCCTTCTGCATGAGTAGATGTATAATGTTTTAGTTTACCATTTTTTACAAGAAAAGCATGTGGGAAAGGTTCTTCAGGCAAATAAACTTTATTTTGTTTGCCAGATGATAACCATTCTGCAAAGATATTTGAATAGGCAAGTGATGTCTCTGCTACAGGTGATATAAAAAATAGAGGTACTTGAGATAGCCCAGTCTTGTCAAGATGTATGCTTAAACATTCAAATAAATCATAAATTACACCAGAAGGATAACTAGGAATTAATACACAGCCCCCTTGGCGTAAAGTTGTTGCTAAAAATATAAAAGAAACAGTAAGCTTGGATATGTCTTGTATTAAAGTTTAAAATAATTATAAATTATTACAAACCAATTGTCATACAAAATTCTCCTAGCATAGTATCAGGATTCTGATTTGGCAATGGAGCTAAGCCAGTGAGAATTATTGCATTCGCATGCTTTAGCATATTTTGTTCCATTGGTTTAGGGTGGGTTGTCAGTGTTGATGAACCACTCACATAAGCAATTTTCTCATGATCACTGGCTATAATCCAGTTACTGCTGCCTAAACAGTAACCCGAACTAATTGCTGTAACTGACAAAGCTCCGTATACATCAAGTTTCTGATCATATCCTACAAGTTGAATATGCGAAAGAGCTGCATTCATGGCTGCTTTTGAGTAAATATGCTTCCAGGACTTTGGTTTTATACAGTCAGCGAGAGGAGGAGGTAGCACATGTATCATTTCTTTCCAATGCTTAGCTACAATTTCTTTTGGGGAACGTTCAATAAACTCCACTAATTCCTCCATGAAAAATCTGCCAATTTGAAGAGTGGGTTCTGTCGCATAAATTACACCTTTGAAACCAGTCCCTTCCGTTATGAATGGTAGGGCCAGCATGCATGTGTAATTAGATATGAGAATGACATCTATTTGAGAAAAATCTATAATTTTTTCAACTGGAGGGCAGAATTCTGGAGCAGAATCAACAAAAAGTCTGTTGGCAGCCGCATGTGATTTTAATTCCTTGAAAATAAAATTTATTGATAGAATCCAGATATCCAAGAAGAACACAATTATTAATGTCAATGTTTACCCTATCAATCTGCCAATCTTTGGATTCGTCACGGGGTGTCCAGTAGGGTAAAGCATCAAATTTGGCACTACGTACCAAGGGTAGCGGCATGAAATTCAATACTGATTGCATGTTCAAGCCACAATCTAGCATTAATGTAATGCCCTTGAAAGTGACAACTAAACATGGTTTAGTGGGCTCGGTGGACAGACAGTACTGAAAAAATCATCAAGTTGAAATACGAATCTTTTCTCTCATGATTTGATCATAACAACGACTTAATATGTCAAAAAAATGAGGTTAAATCGAGTGGTCACACTAAAAAAACTCACCAATTTCATTTTAATATTTTACAATTATTTACACGAATGAAAAAGTACCCGACGAACGCCGTCTTAAAATAAAGATGTCAAAAGTGCAAACGAATATCACGATTTGTTTACAGTTATGCACATGTCCGGTTAAAATTTCTGCCCCTAAGCACCATAAGCAGCCGGCCCGCAAAGTTAGGTAAACATGGCACTTTAAATTCGATGCGCGGCAACACTGGAGCAAGCGATTTTTTGACGTTCGATACGGAAACGCGTGTTTCTGACAGAACATCATTTATGTATGCCAATGTGAAATAATCGGCTGATTGTCGTTCATTAATGAAAAAATTATTGTTAAAAAGAATTATTGATTTGTTTTCCAACCTTCCTTGTTTACTGGTATTAAACTATTGCATCATTTAATGAATAAAGTTCAATAATGTATCAACGGACGATCATCATGTAAGCGTAAGGTGGTTCTCCTATGTAAAGTTGAATGCTGAGTGACTTGACAGTGAGCTTTTAAAATAATTCTTTGATTAATAACAAGAAAGGAGAATAAAGAACAGAGTCGTAATTAATAAATTGAAAAAATAATATTTACTTTATTATCACCATTGAATTGAGACATTGGAACATACAATAAATAATTATATGAAAAATAGAAAAACATCATTTCTAACTCTAACTATAACTAACAATTATTCATGATTTTATCATGTGATTTCGTTTAATTTACAGTGATTAAATATTGTTCAGAGCAATCTGAAGAATCTTTGTAAATTAAGATAAATTTGGTTTCAACTAGGATTGATAATTTCCGTTTCTAATACTTACAAACTACTTTTGTATGCGTATATATTACGCATATTAACAACGAGTACATATGCCTTGATTTACTAATAAATCGGCAATGTTGACATCTTCAGGTGTACTGGTATCATACAACTCTACTTGATACAGATATTTATTGATGCTTGGACCATCTTCATTTTCTTCAGTGACTTTAGTTTTACTTCTTATATCACACACGATATTTTTTCCTTGAATCATATCCCGAAATTTCAAGCTATCGGTGACACTCCATGCTGGAGATGTTGGTTTTACACCTGAAAAGAAAAAAAGGAATAGTTTATACATAATCAACAAGTATTAAAAATATTGATTGAAAAATATAACAGTACCATGTAACTGTGCCCAAATTGCTTGGTATGGCAATTTAAAATACTGCTTATCGAGTGGTATTAGATTTTTGGCTCCTACAGTTTTATGATATCCATCATCGCAAAAATAAACCACTACTTCTTTTGGACTAGATTTTTTGGTCACATATGCTCTAAAATATAAATATTTTCATTAATGTTTATGGAAAGTTATTATTATTATTGATTATTTAATGAAGCCATACCTGTGCCAATATTCATCATCACTTTTACAAGCATATAGCATTCCAATTTCAACTGACTCAAAGGATAATTCTTTTCCCTTGTAATTATTACATATTACAGATACATCGCGAACTAAGTTTGATAAAAGTTTTGCTTTATTACGAAGAATTTGTATGATAAAGCAGGATGGATGACTTGCCCGCACCACATAACAATCAAAAAAACTCCCTTCAGGAGGGACTTCCACTGCTGGCAGTATATCATCAATAGATAGTTTTTTGTTTGATATCTCATTGGATATACTTTTTTTAAAACTTAATTTCGTTTTGATGCTGAAAAAAAGTTTATTCACATCATTAAACTTTTAACAATTAATTTGTCATAATGAACTAAACTGACCTTTCATCACTCTTTTGAATAGAGGAATTATTTAAATCAGAGCTACTGGTTGATATTTTTAAAGATTCTGTTGATTCATCACGAGAGTATGATTTGGGTCTTCTCTGAGGTATATTAACTGGATAGCTTGTTTTTTTTCTTAGAATAAGTGTAGAATTGATTGATGCTAAAAAATCATTGGTTTTTTTGAACATCTCCACTTTTGGTGTTGGATTTTCAGTCGTCATTGCAGTTTTAAAAGTCACATGAACAACATCTTCTGGAGTTGCAAGTGATTCCAAACAATTTATAGCTTCCTCATCAAGTGTATCAATTTGATCAAGTTTAACAAAAAGGGCCTAAAAATTAAATTTTTGTATAAAGCACATTATATAAATCGTAATTTAAAGTTGAAATACCTGTGCTGGATATTTTTCCATCATTTTATCAATTTTATTTATCAAAATCAATCCACTTCTGCGTACCAGTTTAATGTACCCTATGTCAATAAAGAAAGCTTCTATAGTATTATTTGGATTCAACTTCAAAATTTTAACTCTACACCAAATTTTTGCTTCATTTTTGGCAAAGTACAATCTATTAGCATCTAAATTAGGCAGTTCATCAGCTATTGGAAAAGCATCAAGTTTTGGGGTGGCTTTTTTCATTAAATGATTAAAATACTCAAAACTTTTTGAACAAAGTTGAACATACAATCCATTTGGTTTGCAAATGTGAGTTACTCTTGCTTCAAATGTTTCATTCTGAAATTAATTAATTATTGTAATTGAACACTAATACAGAAAAGTAAGTTTTTAATATTACTTTACTTACTAGTTTAACTTGAGCAATTGGACCTGGAAGTAATTTATATATTTTGTGACTAATAATAGGGACAAGATTAGTGAAGTTATCTTGATCTGTAGTACTTTTTCCATTTTCTAACTGCATTTCTTCAACTGAAACTGATAAATAATCAGGGTAGTTTTTAGTTGCAGCAACTTCAACAAATACATCGGTTTCGACTAAGTGTTCTTTTAAAATTGTATTCGCTTCAGCTAAATCAGAAAATAATTCCAGAGGTGTTAAGCGAATATTGATTCCTTGAGCAGGTAGTACTGTAAATTCTGAAACCAGAGGTTGTAGTTTGTTAACATCAACTACATCAATGTCGCCACGGTCAATAAAAATAATATGCGCTTTTTCCTTTTCAAGTTTGGTGCATTTTACTCTGTGCCACACATCTTGCTTCAGAGCATAATATGAGTTTTCTGCCGCTTTTATTGAACATGACTCTCGTGTTTCATAAAAATTCTGCATATCTGTTGCCAATTTAATCATATTTTCCTGAAAATATTAAAATTGTATAAAATGAAACGAAAAAAAAAAAAAACTATAAATAAATGCATTACATAAAAGCCATCTTCTAATATTTGTCCCCATATTTCTGAAAATCCATCAGCACGATGAATTGTGATCCAAAATGATGTTGGGATATCTTTGACAGTTAGAATACCAGGTTCTAAACATAATGATGGATCATTTAGTGGATCCGAAAGAGTTTCTTCCATAATTAAGGTATCATCAATCTACAGCAATATGAGTAAATAAGGTCAATTAATATAAAATAAAATTGACAAGAAGAAAAAAATTCAGTTCTATAATACTAACTTGTGCTACTTTTTCTTCTACAATCAATTTAGTCAATTTTGAAATTTGCTTTTCTTGAGTAGCGTTCTCAACGGGACTCTAAATGAATATAAGGGAGTTAGATTCAATTAAAATAATATTAATAAGAAAAAATCTTACTGATTACTAACTTGCATCGTTTCATCGTTATTATTCAGTTCATTTAGTTCGGTTGAATATGAAGTTTGCTTCAGCTGAGTGTTGTTTTCAACAGGACTCTACAGGAATATAAGTTAGTTAAATTCATTAAAAAATAAAATAAAATTGATAAGCAGAAAAAAATCTTCAAGAATACTAACTTGTATTGTTTTGTCCTTATTATTCAGTTCATTTAGTTCAGGTGAATATGAAGTTTGCTTCAGCTGAGTGTTGTTTTCAACAGGACTCTAAGGGAAAATAAGTTAGTTAAAGTCATTAAAAAAATAACATTGATGAGCAGAAAAAAATCTTAAAGAATGCTAACTTGTATTGTTTTGTCCTTATTATTCAGTTCATTTAGTTCAGTTGAATATGAAGTTTGTTTCAGCTGAGTGTTGTTTTCAACAGGACTCTACAGGAATATAAGTTAGTTAAAGTCATTAAAAATAACATTGATAAGCAGAAAAAAATCTTCAAGAATACTTACTTGTATTGTTTTGTCCTTATTACTCAGTTCATTCAGTTGAGTTGAATTTAAAGTTTGCATCAACTCAGTGTTATTCTCAACAGGACCCTAAAACAACACAATTGAGTTAAGTACCATTCAATAACATAGAAAAAAAAATTATGAAACATAACTAACTTTTGAAATTTTTTCCTCAATATTGATGTTAGTCAAATTTGAAATCTGCCTCGGCTGAGTCTTGTTCTCAATAGGATCCTAAAGCAATATTGTTAATAGTTAGGTTCAATGAAAATTAAAATGGCATTGACAAACAGAAAAAATATTCAACTGAACAATACTAACTTTTGTGATTTCTTCCTTGATTTCTGTTAAATTTGAAATTTGCTTCACCAGAGTATTGTTCTCAACAGAATTCTAAAATGATTGAGTTTTGTTTAGTTAAAGTGTCATTGATAAACAGATAAATATCTAAAAATAATACTAACTTGTGTAATTTCTTCTTTAATATTCATTTCAGTTGAATATGAAATTTGCCTCATTTTCTTTTTATATTCTATTGTGACATTAAATTTCACAGCTTTTATCCAATCCTTAGATAATTTTTCATTATAGCAATCCAAGTACAATTCATTAAGATCTATTTTAAAATCTGTGTTCATATATTCATTTGCTAATTCTAAAACTCTTTCGTATGTTTTCTGATCCTCATTTGTTTCACTGCTCATTTTATTGGTATACAACTTTTCGATACCAGGTTCAGTTTTTACTTTTAATAATGCATTTAATAAAGATGCAGATTTGAGATTCTGGAGATCTTCATTTTCTTTGATGTAATGAGTGTGATTTTGTTTGCTTGGCGATTCATTGAATTTGACTTTTGATTCTTCAAAAAGGTTGTTGTTCAATAAATCAGGTTTCCCTTCTTTAAGGATGTGATTTCGAGATTCCATTTCAATTAGTCCTTGTTTGGATTCGACAGAAATGTTCTGAAAAATTTCATTTTGTAAGAAATTTTGGACCGTGCAAATAGTTTGAAAAATAATTCAGACTTACAGAAGGACTTTGCTTTTCGTTTGAAATCTCAAATCCATTGGCTTTCACTTCTTTAGGGGCTATTTTATAAAATATAAAAATGTTCGTACATAAAAACTGATCGGCTTGAAAATTTACAATTACTTACCAAACACCATCGATTGCTTTTCATTCAGATCCTTCCAATCCATATGATTGTTATTGGCCGGCATCTCGTTCGAATTTTTCAATCCATTCACTTGTATAACGGCAGGATCGATTTTCTCAATTGATACTGTTTCGTGGAAAAATTTAAAGATCATGAAACGTTCTTTAAAACAAACGTTGACGTTTATCAATTACTTACACTGATGATCGCAAATCAAACTTTTCACCGCTGAAATGGAATCCCGGGCGGTAGGATCGAGTGATAACTTGCGTCTGTAATGATATATATAATTTAAATTGTCTCAAGAGCATCGAATCAACACAAAACAAGTCTACACGGGTAGTAAAGGTCAATCGAAGACGGGCCCACAGAGCGAGGATTAAACTGCTAATTGAAAACAAAGGAACGTTGCGCTTTGTCGCGTTGTGTGAGTATCGCGTTCATCGAACTCTAAATGTTAATATTAATGTTTTGTCTAAAATCAAACACGTTTTTGACAAGAAATTGGAATATTTACTGTTTTTTTTTTTCTATTCATGGATACAATTTTGCCACCACCTTTACGTTTCGATGGACCTACGCGCACACAATTAAAGTTGATACAAAAAAAGCCACTTTTACGTACCTCAATCTCTCGTGAAAATCGGCAGGTAACATCGTTTTGTTTTTGTCAACGATGACGTAATAATAATACGATAATAAAAAACAAAACGGAAATCAACGGTAGGATCGATAATAGTATTCGCGGAAACGGTAACCGATATTCCTCGAGACTTCGAGAAGCGATATTATACGCACGAGATGCGTACGGTACAGGGCAGTATTTTGCACTGAGAGGCCGATCCACACACAGCGGTACTCGAGTTCAAATTACACGCCGCCGACGGCCGCGAACAATGCCGGGGATTATCGCTGAACTTGAGTGTCGAGCCGCCCCGCGGTAAGGTGTCTCTGCCGATGCCGCAATAAAGTGACCGAGAAGACGAAAATCGCGCGCGCGCGATTCTGCGCCTGCTTGAGTGCTGCCTGTGTGTCGATCGACCGTTTTTATTTCTGCGCGCGTGCATCTACAATATTTGCGTTAATAGGATATTGTATACGAAGCCCACAGTCTCTCTCGCGGCCTATAACCTAAACAGTCGAGCGTCTGTGTCGAGAGCAGAGAGAGAGAGGAGAGCAACAAACAGACTCGTGTGTATACATCGCAACAGTCGTTTCGTAAATCGAGAATTGTTGTTGATATGTAAAATAATCGTTCTATGCGCGCATTTCGGGGCTCGTCGACTGACTTTTCGGCACTTTCGTTTCGATTCGCCGTCGATCTTGGTGATTCAACTCTGATTTGACGCATGACGTCTGCCCGTTTGTTTCCGAGAATTGGCTGTCAACAAAAATACAATGTGCGACAACGAAGTCATTGTCCTTTACGAAGGATATTCCACGAAAATCGACGACGGCACGATGTCGGCCAATTGTAGCTGTACTCTCATTAAAACGCCGGAAAAAAATATCATTGTTGACACTATGACAGCTTGGGATAAGGATAAAATATTAGCGGGTACATTGAAATTCACCCACGATTTCCTTTTTTTCACCACTTTTTAACCCTCTGCACAAGTTGTCGTTGTTCACTGCAATTAGTATTTTCAAGCTGTACACTTCTTTTTTAAATGAACTACTTTCTAATGTTTATATACTTGGATTTATTGATAATGTTATGAAATTTATGATTTTTAGCTTTGGCTCTGCACAACATTACACCTAAAGATATACATTATGTTATATGTTCTCACAGTCATGCTGATCATATAGGAAATAATAATTTATTTACTGAAGCAATACAGCATATAGTTGGCACAACGGTGCATCAAAAGAACATTTTTTATGAAAAAAACTTGAAATACAGTAAGTTGACAAGTATTTTAAAATTCTCAAGTATTCAATGATGAAGTATTCTAAAATTATTTTATTTGTTCAGGTGACTATGAAATATGTAAAGGTGTATTAGTAAGGTATACGCCTGGTCACACTGCAGAAGATATTTCTGTTATAGTGGATGGAAAGTTCAATGGAGAAAATGTTAAAGTTGGAATAACAGGTATAATCATTTATATGTGATAGCTGATGAGGATATATTGTGTGACTTAGTTACAACTAATATTTTAACTTTATTCAGGAGATTTATTTGAGAAAAGAGAAGATGTGGCTGATCCAACAATATGGATTACTCTTGGTAACTCCGAACTCAATGTACAACAAGCCGATTCAAGGTGGCAAATTGCAAATGCTGTTGATGTTATCATTCCAGGACATGGGCCATATTTTAAAGTAACAGCAGATATAAAAAGTAAACTTTTTAATCAATTTGATCAGTTAATAGTTTATCAATCAATGAAACGACGTGATGAATAATTATTATATTTTTCTATCTTGTAAATTCTCAAAAGTAGATTTATGGAAATTAGAAATTTTGAATCATGTTAAATATATTTATATATCAATTGTTTTGAAAAAGATTTTATTAAACACCGCCAAACATATCACAAAAAAGTATCATTATTTTAACAACCATCAAATAGCTTGTCATTACAGCTATAGAAACACTATAAGTAAAGTAAGTATTTTAATTTACTTGTTAGAAAAAGTAATAAAATTTTTCAAAATACAAGTTTCTTTTAAAAAGATTCTGACCAATTTCTTTCTAAATTTAATTAATATTCTTTACATTTATTAACTTCATCCATGACTTGCATAGCCCATTCTTTTAAACAATTCTATATCACTCACTCTATAGATACATAAATATATTCATTTATACATAGTTACATAAACAAAAATAAAGCGACTCTATGTAAATATTAATATTCATCTTACAACAAAATTAAACAACCCAACTTTCATTGGAAGCTGCTCATTTTCTTTCGTAAATATTACTTTCATGTTTGTATCGCTTTTTCTTTCAAAACGTGACATACCTAACTTCACTCACCATTGATAATATACTTCCATTTTATCCATATACATGCTCAAGAAACAATCTGAATGGAAATTTATGAAAAATCTTTCGTTTTTTTACTACTTATAAATATGGCAAAGTTTTAATTTATTTACTAATTTTGACAGCATTGAAATTGCACAAATAATCTTCAAGACTGTAAAAAATAAAATTAATAATCATGATTTTTGACTTTACTTGATAAAGTCAATTATATGGAGCAATAATTCACAAATCGAGCCAAAAACCCTCAGTTTTTGAGCTGACTGAATTACACATACAAAATTATTATGCTTTGTAAATTGTTAACTTTACAAATTTAAGATATAACTTTTTTTTTGTGATTACAAATTTTATTGTCCCAAAAGCTACCCAATTATGCTTAATTGGTTTTTAACTTCGAATTTTTGGCTGATATATAAAGTGTGAAAAAGTAAAATCGACAATCATATGACCAATTTAAAGCTAGCATTATGTTAATGTTTTCATATGTAATTTTCACATTAATGTAATCGGTAACAGTATGCAAAAAATACTGATCGACCTCTATACGAGACGGGGATGGCCAAGAAAATGCCTTTTATCATTATCTATGATACATACTACATTGTACTCTTACAACAACTCAACATTACAAAATATTCTGACTAACCAACATATTGTCCGTGACGCTAAGTGACTTCACATTCCACATTCGAAGCAAAATAATGGAATAAAGTATCAAACACAACATGAAACTAGCACAACACGCCCATCTGCAATTTTCAATCAAGACATATTAAAATTCATTAACACTGTGGAACGGATAATCTTGACTTTATACGTTCGATCGATTAGAGATGCCTCTTAAGTGTGTCTGTGAAAAGATAACGATTACAAATAAAAATCAAATCTTATGATTTTAAAAAATTTGTTGAGAAAATTATCGCTGGCAACGTTAGTGAGTAGTGCAAATTAAATAAAGCATTGATTAAATAATTACACTACGAACTACAAAAAGGTTCAGAATTAAAAATTAAAAAAGATTAAAGAAAAAACAAGCTGATGGGCTAATCTATTAATTGTTAAGGCTAATGTTAAGTAAATTGTTAACTAAATTCAAAAATAAATTATTTTATTTTTCACACTCTTTTTCAAAACAAAATTAGATTTTCTCTCATTAGCAAACTAAAATATAATAAATTCAGCGTTGTAACTGTACAAACTTAAGTCTAGTCATTTAAATCTTTCTCGATTGAACAACGCGAATCAATCATAAGAACTCAAAATTGCCGAAGCAAACTAAAAATCACATAATCGCATGAATCTGCGATGAAAGCGTCAACTTCGTATCGCTAAATCATATACAAACTCTAGTAACATGTATACTGTTGGTGTAACACAGATGCGTACACGCAACATCAAGTCCAGCTTAGGAAAGGATCCACTGAGTTTTCATTCACAAGCCCTTCCGTATCGCTCTATTCGCACATAAGTAACAAAAAAGTTGTTGTAATCAACGATATACTATGAAATAACATTGATAAATTATACTTTTGCTATAATGTTAACAAAAAAAATGGCGTTAATATCTTCACGTTAAGATTAATGATTGGAACTTTGTGATCGCTATCTTAAATTAGAAACATAAGTAACAGGTGAACTAGTCAATTAATGAGCGCCATTAAAGTGTATTTTTGGTATAAACGGCGCAAAACAAATGGAAAATTATGCTTAACGTATGGTAACGCTGTTATTGTATAATAAATGCACAGAGGTTGCAGCGAGACGCAAATTATATAGAGCGTAGGAACTCTTTTTTAAGTGTGTTTCAAAGAAAACAAATCGTCGCAGCGGTCGTAAGAATCTTCGTCGTTATTAAGTAAAATAAAAAATTAATTCGATCTCGCATCAAAAAGTTCGCAGAGGAATATACCCATTGGTTGCGAGAAATTTTCGATCTTCTTCGTCGTCTGTTAAATTCTACAAAAAGAATTTCATCAGGTTTACATGTTTTTGAATGATTTTATATTGGAGAAAAAAAAATAGACATAACAATAAGCGTATCCCAAAAAATATTGAAAGCCTTTCATTGATAAGAAACTTATTTCCGGTTAAACTTTAAGCATAATTTTCGGACGATAAGGAATTAAAAAAAAATAATCACTCGTTAATGCAAACGCACACACAAAAACAAGCATCCTTATCATTTATTATAGTATTAGACCATTAAAAAGTAACAAAAGGAACTCGATCGATTAGAAATATTTTTACAAGCATCCGCCATGTCGCCGCTCATCATTCAGTTAGTGTATAATGATTTGTGAGCAAAGGCAACGAGGTAACTTTTCTTTTACGACTTTGGTAATGATCAACGTATCGTATAATTGTGTTCTATTTGGAATTCTTTGCATGCGACTTTATATTATAGACATTGGTTAACAAAAAAGAAAAAAAATACGTGTCTATACCTCTTTTTTTAATATAAAGTTTGGTTCTTCGTTAACTATGCATTATATAATATACATTATACATATTAGTTATGTACTTCATCACAGTTTTTTTTCTTCCGCTTCGATCGTTGTTAAACGAACAAAATGCTGAATTAATCTGACTGTTTCAACCGTTTTGTCCATTTTATTTAATTATCTAAGTGCCATTCACGCTGCCATTCAAAAGTTGTATCACCTCGCTGCTAATCATCCCTATTTTTTCCATTCAAGGCTACGTTAAGCGACAGCAAACGCTTGTACAAATTCGGATATATCACGAGAGTTTTTTTCTTTGGCATTTTGCGTTCAACGACAAACACTTTTTTTTCTTTATAAAAGATATATAGATTATCTCATTGTGTATCCTTTCAACGGGTTACGAGTCGAAGAATCGGTCAAGTTCGAAGTTGGACACGATCGATCGGAGCAATTACAGAGCGTCGAAAAAATCGAACGAAAAACGTCGTAAACGTTTACATAGTAATGTAATATATTCGTAGGCACGCGTGGTGTCCAACTCCGATTACATCGAATAATATATTTCACTTATTTATTTATACAGGAGCATGCGCACACATACACACACCACACACACTCCCATAATATTGAAAAACCAAACAGTTAACAACTTGGCGATATTTACAATAGAATATATTAGTCGATTAATTTCGTGCTACAAGGAAAAATTGCCAATGAATTAATTTACAAAGTCCCCATAAAATCAAAATCGATCGATGTCACCGAAACCAAATGGTGTGTGGGCATTCAAGGTTTGTCAAGCTGTTAGTTTAGGATTAATTCCATCACAATTCGCAACTCGTCGATCGTCCAAGTATAGTAATAATTTTTAGAAAGCTTTTTTTTTATTATGTGTAGGCGAGAGCAAAACATCCGCATCTGTGGTGCTTTACTATCGCCGATTGTTAAGGCTGAGAATGACGTAGGGCTCGTCGCGATTAGTGGCGGTGGTAGCGGCATTGGTAGCGGCGTTAATGGTGCTGCTGTCCGTGGCTCCGTTGTTAGGTTGGTAGCACGGATTAATCGTATAGTTGAGATTAGGCTGATGATAACTCACCGGTTGATGGTGGCGGAGGCCACCGCCGCCCCGTCGCCTGTCGTAATCGTCGTCCATGCCCAGCTCCGAGTCCGAGTCGACCTTGTGTCCCTGATCATCCTTTGCGATTAGACATTTGTGCAGAAACATACATTTTTTGTTTTTATATTTAAGTAAACCCAAAGCGTGTTCGACGATTACGTAAATAAAATAAAAGGTTTCACAAAAGCCCCGTCCAACGAATGTAACAACAACAAAAGATCATACCTGCGTCATTTGCTGGGTGGTCGTGAGTATCCTCGCGATGGGCATGCAGCAGACGGGCAGAGTCTCGAGGAGGGTCGGCCTCGAGTGCGTCAGCAGCGGCTTCATGTAGCGCGAGTCGAAGTTGCCCCAGATCCGGGCCAGCAGGGCCTTCTCGTTGGACTTGGTAGGCGGCGCGGCGGGCACGGTGCTCGGCAAGCTCGCCGCCGAGCCGTCCTGTATGGAATTATACTGTGAAGTCGGGGGTCGCAGGAAAAAAAAAGAGGGAAGAGAAAAAAGTTCGACTTTATTAGTCTTTATCCATCCTGTATGCGTACTCGTTACCAACTTGCAAAAGTTTGCTACTTTTCGTTATACTACTTGAATCTAAGGTTTCGCACAACTTTTCAATGGTATATGGAACGTTGAATTCATTGAGAGAAGAGGAAAAAAAAATAAATAAATGACAAACTAAAAAAGAACTCGAACGCCGGACGCAGTATCTAATCGGTGTATAGGCAAGACAGGCTTCTAAATAAACGTGCAATTAGCTCGCAATCTATTTCCGTTACTCGCGACAGCAGAAATGTTACAGAAATCTACACACCAACATTTATTTAACGACAAGTAGATACATAGATTTGAAAACTCCAACGCGAACATCGACGAATCTAATTTATGTAAAAACATTCAGCCAAATAAGAAAGGATCGTATGCAAAGTTAACAATGACATAATGAAAAATAAGGAGGTTTGCAATTACAAAAGCAATTTTTTTTATTAACATCGCTATTAAAGATTATAAGATAATAACTAATCGTTAGTTAATTATTATTCATGTTTTGTTGTAAATATTTTCGCCATGCTTAGTAAGTGCTGTTTTGGGTTAAAACGTCTCGTCGTCTCGATTGTGTATATATGTTGTTTCTTTTCATCACAACGTTAATCAAGTCAAGAGTTCAGCAAATAAGTACAGTATTCACATTTATCATACAGAATGGATAAAGAAAAAAGTAATAAAAGTATAAAAAAAAGCAACTGTCAAACTTCTATTTGTGTAAAGAATGAAAAAGCACAAAAAAATCGTGTAGATTTTTTTTACCGTACGTGAATCACGTTTGTGACAGTAAATAATTATGACAATAATGTATTTGCACCAATTGTGTCGTCGTCATTGTTGCCGTATAGCATTAGAATGTGCAAAAAACAAAAATCAAGCTCCGGTAAAATGAAATTTTCAAGATAAAAGTCATAACTACTGAAAGCAAGTGGATTATTGCATCATGCTCGGCGCGGGTCGTAATGATGATTGAGCGGGGAAATTTTTTAAAGGATAAACACACACATACACACTGAACTGAACCAGTTTTTAATTCAAACATACCGGAGGACTTCTTTCTCGATGCATGTCCAGTTCACCAAAGCCACCTTCGCCACCAGACTAGCAACAATTGCAAGTTCATAATTTTTTTTTATTATCAAGTTCTTAATTGATCAATTTTTTTCTAAATAAAAAGACTCTAGTCTTATAAAATGCCATGCTATAGGCAATGAGAATCAATTTACTTCAAGATTAATCATATATTTATCAAAACTACTGAAAATCATAATTTTATCTAATAGAAATGATTATTATTGATGCATTAATTAAAAAAAAAATACAAAAAATAGTTTAATGTAATAATTGAGGAATAGCAATCTCAAAATCTAATGTTAAAATATTAAAAAGAATTATAAATCAACTATTTTACTAACCCCAGCTGTATCCATGGAGTTATATACCTGGAGTGCAAGCATTAAGATTTGAAAAAAGCAAGGATAAATAAAGCAGTACTGGTGGGTGTTTTTATCAACATATTTTAATGTATTCATTACACGCGTTCAGGTGCTTCATTCTTAACTTCCGTTCGAACTTATTTCAACTCTTTTTTTTTGTTTTTCTAATAAGCCGTGAGAATGAGTAATGAAAAAATAATAATAAAAAAAAGCGACAATAGAGCAAAAAGTTGCTCGGAATTCGTACAATTGCACAACAACCAAACGACTACCATAACCATCGAATACATGAAAAAAAACCATCAAGAAAACGTAAACAATTACGATGATTTACTTACGCCTCGAACGCCGTTGTGAGACAACGCCTCGTGCTCTTCGTCGACGCCAACCCTGTCGAGAAAAAAAAATGGCTCGTTATAGCATTTTTCATATTTTTGAGCACGCGATCGTCGAGAAAAAGGCAAAAAATCGATCCAACTCACGGTATGTTGAACCAGTTGAGCAGTTGGGACGCGGCGCCGCCCTGAAAAATGACCGTCATTATGACAATGAGACTGGTTGCCGTGAGCATGGACTGACGCGCCACGGACACGGTGTTCCTGATGGCCAGGGCGAAGCTCATGGCGCCCCTGAGACCGGCGAAGAACAGCATGTGCTGGAAGTTCATCGGGATCTTTGGCTTGCGACCTAGATTCAGAAGGAAGGACAGCGGATAGACGTTGGCCGCTCTGCCGAGTAGAGCGCAGAACTACGATTCAATGCGTTAAGGAACATTCGAGGTACTATTTTTTCTCTTTCGTTCGGGCGATGATTAATTTTTTTTTACGATAGAATCAAAAGGATACGAATCCCGAGAATATCAGAATGAAGTTGAAGTTGTGCTTGCGGAAGGTGAACATCGACACGCCGATGTAACAAAATATGAAGTTTTCGGCCAAGAAGTTGAGCAGCTCGAAGAGCTGCTTCGTCCTCTGTCGAGAATCGGAGCTCAGATTATTGTAGGTGTAGTGAGCTTGGCATATTCCACAGAAAAGTACAGCGACGACGCCTGCAAATACATAGGTAAAACACAAAAAAATTACAATTTAAGTCAATTAATACAATCAATTTTTATTCTTTTATTTTGATCGTTTAACAAAGTAAATCTGAAGGGCTTTTGGAGCGTTACCAATAAAACAAATTTATTATTATTTTTATATTGAATTATTACATCAAAGTTCAAGTTTTTATATTTATGATTTTCTTCATGAGCTGATGCTATTTTGTACCGTTCAACAATTCTTCTTTTCAATTTTGTCCCGCAGCCGCCAAAAAAATACGACATAAATCTTGGTTCACCAGCTTATCAACGATAATTTCACAGCACAGAATCGGCAGACGGTAGTGCGTTAGCTCCATGAAAGAACCCAGTGCCAAGCGTCGACAAAATCCTCTCGCCATTGTCTTGCTCAGATGCGCGGCAAAATCATCATTAGCGATTGAGTAACAAACATTCGTAGAGTAATGCCCGTGATCATCGGAATACGCGTACTTGTAGTAGTCGGTGTAAGTGAGTCGTTTCGCTGCCTCTTCGGGTCGTAAGTGTATCAAATCGTAGAGCGACAGACTGGAATTGACCATTTGATTTTTTGACTTGGTGGCAATCTCATTATCACTGGGCAAATATTTTACAAGATCCATCGATTTTTCAAACACTCCGTGCTCGGCAAACAATTTCACGATCGTCAGGACGTCGCTTTGGTCCAGCTCGTATCCTCTTTTCTCAAGACGCTCGACGACTGCCAGAGCGCCGGACACTATTTTAAATTTATAGTTGAGATAATATGCATGACCCAGCGATCTAAAATTCTCTCCAAAATAACTAGCAGTCGGGAAACTAAATTTAGATAGATCAGCGCCGTTGTCCAAGAGCGCATCAACCGTATTGGGCAAGAAATTCGCCACAGCCAATTGAAGCGGTGTCCGCCCTTCGTTGTCCTGGGCATCAACTAGAACCGTTTGATGCTTTTCGGCTTTGATCTTGAAGAATAGCTCGGCAAAACCATTGTCGCGGGTTCCCTTAGAAATCACGTGCAGAGGTGTTAATCCACGCTCACCAACAAAATTCGGATTCGCGCCGTTTCTCAGCAGCGATTCTACCACCTTCTTGTTGCGTTTGTTTTGCAGAGACATGTATAGCGGCGAGAGAATTAATGTTTGCGCGAGGCAGTCGGGATCCTGGCCGAGCTCGAGGAATTTCTCAACGACGTCGTCGAAGCCATACATGCTGGCCACATGCAAATGTGTCAGACCGCCCTCGTTGCTGTAATTCACGTCGAATCTGTTGTATATCTTGAAAAGATCATGGATTTCGGTATCGTAGATTGGAGGTATTCGTCTGCTCGCATAATGCACTGCAGTGGTGAGACGCGTCAATGGCTTGCCATCCTCGTCGACGTCGGGTTCGTCCCTGTAGCCAGTTTCGATCACAAACTTGATGAATCGTTGCCCGTGATTCCGGTTTATCATTCTGTTAACGGACGCCATGAGAAGCAAATCAATATCTTCTTTTCCAAAAATCTCCCGAAGATCTGGGATTTTGCCCTTCCAATCGTTGATAAAGGGATAAAGTTTTTCGAAAAAATCTTTTTCCTCACTTTCCAAGATCACGTAATCCCATGCGCAATATTTTTTTCGTGTCCGCCTTAATTCTTCAAAATCGAATTGACGAAGATGATACATGCACTCGGAATCATAGTCGTCGTCTTCGTATCTTACGACATCAAAACTTCCATCGGATCCGTTGTCGGCAGCCATCGTTCTGTACATTGACAAACAACGTCAACTACAATGTTAAAAATCCTTTTCACTTTTATAGTCACGAAAAATCACTTGCGCCAATCGATTCGATCGTCCTTTGTTGTTTACGCTGCAGCAACGTCGTAACGCGCCTACATACAAGTAGCGACTATAGAAGGAGACAATGGCAGACTGCAATGCAGTCCTCCTATATGGGTGTTATGCCGTAGCGAAAAAGCAGCAGCGCCAGCGGCCACGGAGCTTATATTAGGTTACAAGTTATAACCAGCGTTGTAAGTTACAACTGATATACGACGCGTCATTTCTTGAAAGAAAAATTGTTGATCATTCATCACAAACTTTGACCTGTTGCCGCCAAACAAATGCGACACAAATCTTGATTCATCAGCATCCCGGTGATTTTTTCACAGCAGAGAATCGGCAGACGGTGGCCCGTAAGCGAGAAAAAAAATTCCAATCCCCACTTTCGGAAAAACCCTCTCGCCATTATTTCGCACAGATGCGCGGCACAAGTCTCGCTGGGTTCTTCGGGGAAAAACTCGAAATCGCGCGAGCGCGCGAATTCGAAGTAGTCCGAAGATGTGAGTAATTTTTCCGCCTCTTTTAGCGGTAACCGGACGAAATCGGAGAGCGACAGACTCGGGAGTATCGTCGTATCTTTGACTTTGTGCACGAACGTACGGTCGTCGTACCAACATTTTTCATGATCCGTCGACGTCTCGAACAATCCGTACTTCGCGAAGAATTTGATTATCGTCAGGGCGTCGCTTCGGTCCAATTCGTATCCTCTTGTTTCGAGACGTTCGACGACGGCCAGAGCACAAGACATTGGCAACAATCTAACGTTGATGCAGAATTCGGACCTCGATTTGAATCTCTCCGTGAAGTAATTCTCGGTCGGAAAAACGAAGCTAGACAGATCAGCTCCACGATCCAGGAGAAGATCGACCACGCGCGGCTGCAGATTCGCCACAGCCAATTGCAACGGCGTCCTACCCAACTTGTCGCGAGCATCGATCTGCACCGTTCGATGTTTTTCGTCGACGACCTCGAAGAAAATCTCCGCCAAGTCGTCGTAAAAATCTCTCTTGCAAACGATGTGCAGAGGCGTGGATCCCTCTTCGTTGGCCAAATTCGGGCTGGCGTCTCGTCTCAGCAGATATTCGGCCACTCCGCTCCTGCAACCGGTCACAGCACAATGTAGCGGCGTATTACCTAACTTGTCCAAGGCGTCGATCCGCAGCGGCTTATATTTGTCGTTGCCGAGCTCGAACAACATCATCAAGTCATTGAGGCGGCCTTTCTTGCAGACAATGTGCAGGGGTGTCCACCCTTCCTCGTTAGACAAATTCGGGTCGGCGTCGTTCCTCAGCAGCAATTCGGCCACCTCGCTGTGTCCGCGTTTCAGGGCCAAGTGTAGCGGCGTGTCACCCGTTTCTTTCCAAACGAGATTGGGATCATGATCATGCCAGAGAAATTTCTCGACGTCGTCAATGAGGCCAGTCATGCAGGCCGCGTGAAAATGAGTCAATCCGGAATCGTCGCTGTAGTTCACATCGAACCTGTCGTATATCTTGAAAAGATCGGCGATAAAGAAGCCGTGGCCCTTTTTAACCGCACGATGCACTGGCGTGGTACGACGCGACGATGGCTTGCCATTTTTATCGACGTCGGGCTCGTCTTTGTATCCACAGCAGGCAACGAAGTTGACGATTATTTCTCCGTGGATCCTCCTCCTGTGGTCTACGTAATTTATAGCATCTGAGACAATGCACTCGATTTCTTCCTTTCGAAAGATACTCCGGAGATCAGGAAGTTGGCCCTTCCAATTATTGAATAGGGGGCCAAGTCGGTCGAGAAAATCGTATCGCTTCTCTTCGATCTCCCAATTAACCTCTTTTCGTAAGCTATTCAATATTTTTAATGCTTTTTTGTTACGATGATTCACGACTTCAAAGTCACCTTTAACGGATTTGTCGTTACGCTCGTAGGACATGTCTACTATTTTTACGCACTCACAAACAACACACAATCGTTTAGATTCCAAAATATTTGTATTTTTTTTAGAAAATCACTTGCAGCGGCCGATGCGATCTTTCTTTGTTTTTTACGCTGCGGTCGTCTGACTGGCGACTGGCGACTCAGTCGACGTAGTTAGAATCGCTTATAGTCATCACTGGTAGAGGGCGGTTTTCTCAGTCAATTACAGTTTCGTACAAATTATTTAAACGACGTTCCATTCGATCGTTAGCCGTTGTATTAGTTTCGTACGAGTCGGAAACGTTATCGACCAATGCCCAGGCTAATTGAAATCGTTACACGATATTAGTTACACCATATTCAATATCGCGTCGTAACAATCTTATCGAGCACACAGAGAGGGAAACAAGAAAGAGAAGATTAGAATCTCGTCGCGCGGAAGCATTCGATTGAATACGTTTACAAACGGGACTCGACGGCGTGAATATCGTCATCGAAATTTTTTGCAGAGCAACGACTATACGTTGTACGGTTATTTGTTTATTTATTTATTTATTTTTTCGAGACTCACCCGTGAGATCGGCGGCCTCGGCGATGAGGAACGTGCTGTAGGACATGAGCACGAACAGGGCCGACTCGAGCAGCGGAAAGTCCCGCACGTGGGTGAACTTGGTGAGCAGGGCCGTGATGCAGCCCATACTGGCCCCGATCAGCAGCGACAGGCTGAATATGCTGACGAAGTCGCCCAGCGCCTTGAAGAAGGCGGTGACCTCGAAGCTCGAGCCGCCCGGCGTCGCGTAACGCTCCCCGTAGTTCTGGATGGCTCTGCATAGTTGAAAAATAATCAAATATATATAAAGCAAGAGTCGAGTTACTGTATATTGTATAATCGTCTGGATGGCATTGTATACCAGGAATGGAGATAAAAAAATTTCAACTCGCGAATATAATGTAGTTTCTTCTTACGATATCGTGCAGGAGCGTTATTCGCGTAAAGTGTCAATGACTCTCGCTAACGCGAGGCCCGCATATTATGTACTATCGTTGTCGCTTATCGAACGCGAGCTCGTTTCGTCGGTTTATTTTATTATATACATGGCACCGGTAGAAAATAGAAACGATGAAAAAAATAATAAAAGAATTGCACGTTTTAACGAGTTTATGATATTGCCTGCAATTGGTATATAAGTATGTATAAAATCCCAGGCGCCTCTCCTTCGCTTCAATAAAACACACGTAACAACTCGGCCGATTGAGAAAGAGTCTCTCTCTCGACTCGACTCTTTATCGGCCGTTTAATTTATGCGCGGCGAGTTGCATGTTGCGATTCCCGAGTCTTATATAAGCCGGTTGTGCAGCAGCAGTTGGCCTTTTTCCCCCGTGGGACGCGTGACACGAGCAGCAATAATAATAATAATAATAATGACAATTATAATTAAAAATATCATTTGCTTATACACATACCCGCTGAGGACGATGGCCACCGCGTCGTTGAGCACGCTCTCGCCGAACACGAGGGCGTAGAGATTCACGTCCACGTGCAGATCGTTGAAGATCGATATGATGGTCAGCGGATCGGTGGGCGAGATCAGCGCGCCGAAGTACAGCGTGTCGAGGAACGTGAAGGCCGTCGAGATCTCCGGCGGCAGCAGCTTCACGAACACGTACATCAGTGTCCTGTGTTGCATAAGAGACAGAGACAGAAAAATTAGTTTTTGGGGCGAAGGTGAGAGATTTTTTTTTATTAAAAATAGAAAAAATGTTAGAGAGTTGGAAAATTGGCGCTGCTACTCACCCGATGACGAAAGACGAGACGGTCGTGCCGACGAGCGCGTACATCAGTATGGCACCGAGATTCCTGAAGAAGTATTTCTGCGAAGTGGCAAAAGAAAAGAAAAAAATAATATGACAATTTATTTTTCGCTTACGCGCTACTCTCGTTTATAATAACGACGATGATGGTGTATAATAAACGTAATATAAGAATCGTTTCTCGTTTCTCTTCCTGTCAAAAGGGATATCACGAACGGATTCGGAAAAGAAGAAACGAGTCACGAATGTTTTTTTAACGAATATAAAAACTCACCCTCTTCAAGCTGTATCCAGCGTGGAAAATAATCGGCGGCAGGATGATGTTGAAGAATATTTCTGGATCGAAGGTGGCCTATTATAAGAAACGAGAGAGAAAAAAATCAAATGGTCTGAGTAAACGTGTTTCGTATACATTATCAACGACTTCACTTTTCAATGTATATGCAAAAAAGCAATGTACACTCAATCTCGATCGAGAAGCAATAATAAACAAAACGAGCAAAACAACAACAAGGCGGCAGCGGCGGCGACAGCAGCAGCGGCAATAACGACGACCCCACCCGGGGTCGGGCAAAAAAATCAAAAAAAGAAATAACAACCGTGTGTACATTACCTTCTTGGCCGCGTACGAGTATAAAAGATCTACCTTCTTATCGATCTCGCTGTTCTTGGTGATCTCGCCCCGGAAGGCGTAGGCGAAGGTCTTGTTCGAGGTGATGCTCTGCGTGGCGTTGTTCGCCAGCTCGTCCGTGGCCAGATTCAGCAGCAGCATGTCCGGCGGTATGGACTTGTTGAAGGTCTGCTGGGGCACCACCTGCAGCTGCTCGATCTTGATGTTGGACGGCAGCTGGCGCAGGATCGCCCCGATGATCAGGCCTGCGCGCGAGAGAGGGGTTCATATTTAATATTCATTTCAAAAATATATTTCGCTGTTTCATTTTATTTTTTCTTGCGTCGCGTTTATGGAAGGCAAGAGAGAGAGAGAGAAAGAGACTCTGTAACCATTTTTCTCTTACATAACGCGCGCCATAAACACGCGCACGCATATTTACCTTCTGCAAAGCGACTCTGGCACGCCATGCAGGCGCTATATAAGTAAATTCCATGCATTTATTCATTAAATACGGATAATTTAAAAATTGCATCGCGCTCGCGAATGGACAGCGCAGCTATGCGTTATTATATTGTGTTAAAAACATGAAAAGATATTAAATGAAAAAAAAAAAATCGTTGAATTCGCGCGCCGGACACGCGATATATATATAGCGCTTGAAACGCGACGAGCACGTGCACCTCCGATTTGTAGAATATAAAAATACATTACACGTCACAATATTGTGTATGTGTGTGATGTGATATTTAAAACACAACGGGAAATAGGAGACCACCTCGCACCACGCGGCACGCATAGAGCACCGAAGCGATAAAGCCGTATACGCTTTTTTTTTCCTCGATAAGACAAAGTTTTAAGTGTCGCCGTTTTATTTAATTTGATACTCGCGCGCGCAATGTAATATACAATACAATATTATATATACGCAGGTATAAGTTGATATTTATTGGCGTATAACCGACTTGCTCTCTTGTCTATAATCTTTCGCGTATATTACACACAAATACAATAATGGATGTACACACACATGTAATAATATAAACCGAAAAAGATAGCGCTGTGGAAGTTGAAAAAAAAAGAAGGAATTATTTTTATCGCGCTATGTAATAATACCGGCGACATGGAACTTTACTTCTTTTTTATTTTGTCATTCTTGTCCGGTCTACTTGTGCATTTATAAACGTTTAACCAGAATCGCGTAAAACGAAAATCAAGGCCGCTGTTTTACAGGTTTTCCTCTCGCTCTTTTATATATATACGAGCTCGAGAGTCGAGAACGACTCTCTCTCTCCTGTAGAGCTGCAACGTTTTAAAATGCTTTTGCATGCCGGCGTTAGGATATATAGCCGCGAGAGAGGATATTCCAGCGTGAATTTTTCTCTAATATAAATGTATTATAGGCTGCGCGGCAACTCGAGGAGGCACACGAGCACCGTTATATAAACGCGAGCCCGTGCACGCGGCTCATGCATACAGCTATACCTACTGGCTTACATGGGTTGTGTGTGACAGGTGTGATTAGTCGAGGAGCTCAATGCGCTTAGCATAACTTCTTTTTTCACTTTTTTTTTTATTCATTTTACACGCGATTTGATGCAATACGAGCGGGGGTACCGGCAACCATAATGCAAAATATTTTGTGTTATACTATCTGTTATATAGAATAATAATAATATCGAGCTTTGAATCGATGTGTATGCATAAATTAATGATATTGTTGACATTCTAATGACAATGTGTAGTCTCTGATTTGTAAAACAAATTTTATTTATTCTGTGACTGATAATTTGTATATAGTTGTTAAAAGCCTCAGTGACAGTTCCCAAGCTCGTGTTCTGAAATCACTTGGGACATGCATACAATTGATTGTATGCTGTGTTGCATATATTCAATAAAAGAATGCCAATCAATACAATGAATGATAAAAAGAAGCAGAGACCAAGAGGTAAACATGAGCTCATGCTGTACAATTATAAATCTATTGAATTGATTAAATTGCCTGATGTGAAGTTATAAAGTAAGAGTTGTGTTTTTATTCGACAGTAATATTCAGCTTGAAAGAAATTCTAAAGCTCAGTTGTAAAACTTATAAAGCTTGTACCACCAGTAGTTATTATTACAAACAGTGACTATTTGTACATTCTTGAACAGAATCATTGGCTATTCGAGTCAAGTGTACACATGACATAATAAATTAGAGAGTCTGCAGAGTAATTATGAGTCATGAAAGAGCAGAATCGCATCAAATTTCACTGAAGTTTTCCTTCAACATACGCAAGCATATGCAGCTTTGTTTTTTAAAACTAGTACAGTGCTCTTGATAGTAACTGACTTTTACAATAAACGATAATCAAAGTCAGAGCTGACAACCAACCAGAATCCCCCCCAATAGATGCGACCTTGGCAATGATGATTCATCAAGTATGGCCTATCTGGACTCACCATAAATGACAGCCAGGCCAGTCTCGTGCAGGAACCTGAGCCTGCGGTGCTTGAAAGTCCAAACTGTCAGCACCGTGGCGGTCAGCAGGAACGTGTAGACCAGCAAGTTGAGACTGTCGAGCCTGTGCAGATCCTGGGCCTTGACGTCGAGCTCGATGTCGGTGGCAGCCCCGTGACAACCTGCCGCGACGGTCAGCAGGAGGGCCGACAGCCGCAACAAACCACTGGCCATTCTCGTCATCCCGAGATTGGGTACGGGGGGGTATTATTCACCACTTGCACATATATGTATTGACTTGACACCACCACCACCAGCACTACTACAACCGAAGTCGAACTTTTCACGTTGTCGAGAACGAATTACACATTCAGCAACGACGACGACACGCTGTTGGTATTGTTATAATTAGTATATTTGTTATTGTCTTTTCGTCATGCTATGTAAGAACGTCGTCTTAAAGCTCCATACATCTGCAGCACGTTACAATAATGTATTTCACGTCATCTGTGTGTACAAAAGTCAAGTGTGTGCTGCTGCTACTGCTGTCTGTCTCTCGGTCGCAGTGTGCCTGCCTTTGTTGTCAGACTCGAGCAATATCGTCGTGCACTTTAATTACGACTCTATACAAAAAGCTCCTTCTCGTTTAGATTATCGTCGCACTCGTATCAAACATTAATCAACGCACTTCACGCAAAGTGCGAACGCACACACGACGACACGCACGCACTGCTGCTGCGACGTTCGAACGACGACTGATGCGATATGACTAATATTCGCTGCTGCTGCCGGAGTAGAGAACGAGTGAGACAGAAACGGAGCAGTCAGTCTCCGTCTCGCTCGCACTCGTGCGGCTATACACGCACTTATTACGATTCCTCGGCAATCTGCTAATTCGTTTCGCAGTCACACAGCGCGGACTCGTAGCAGACGCTTTTTGTGTGTCACTATACTCGCGCGTGGAGACGCGGACGCTGCGCGCTGATACACGTAGCGTGACGTCATGGAAAAAATGCGTAATAATTTAATATAATAAAAGCTCGGACTGCTGCTGCTGATCGAGAGATCTCTCGAATATTAGGGCGCGACATCCGAGATGGAAACGTTGTCGATACGATTTTTAGGATAAGGTCCGCTGACGATAAGAAAGTCGGCGGTTATTGTCATGTAACGCGCAAGAAACTGTGTAGGAAATGTACATAACGAGTCACGGTTTTACTTATAATTTCTCGAAGTGACATTGTAAATTGTGCAACGACGATCCAATATCCGCGTGTAATTACGATCGAAATATTTTTCATGCTGAATATTGGCATTTGATGACTTCGCGACTACGATTCAGGATTTTCCGAAGCTTTTATCGAACGTTCGACTCGATAAAAACACGCGACTCGATTATTACGCGTATCTATATATAATCGAGTCTGCAACCGATTGTACATATTTTTCGATAAATATTTTGAATGGTTCTCTCGATCGATAAGAGCTTCGATCTACATAACCCACAACTCCTATAATATGATCGTTGATCGCTCCCACGCACGAACGGGCCCGCGCGCGCGCGCCTCCGCCGAGCTGTGTGCGTAGTGCCAGTGCACCTAAAATACTCTAGTCGCGTGCTTGTAGCCTCGGATGCTGCATCGGCACGTCATATATAGTATATAATCTCAATAATGAAACTGCACAAGCGTAGATCTTAGTGCATTTGCACGCGCGCGCATTAATACACACACACGCACACACGCACAATCTCTAGCCGTGACAGTTGCGTATTATATAGTGCTTTATTCCTCTTTAATTAATAATTTAATACGCGTGGTCGATGTTGCCATCCATGGTGTTGTTTTTTTCGTCGTCGTCGTCGTGTGTACAGCAGCAGCAGCAGCAGCAGCAGACGGCCAAACCCATGACAAGTTATTATGAAGGGTCACCTGGAGCATAGATGGACGAGCTGCCTCAGGAGATACAGGTTTTTCTTCGCCTGCGGCGTCGTCCTGCTGTGCGGCCAGCTCTATCTGGCCTACAACTTCCTCGCGCTCGAGAACGAGAGTCGGCTCGCGAGGAATGCCATTGACGAGGTGCGATGATTATGACTCTCGAGCGGTGTTCGGCTGCTATTACGATACGCAGCTCTCATTCATCGATTTGAATAATTTTTTCTGTTTACGTTCTCTCGTTTACGATGTTACGAATTTCGGCCTCGATAAGCTTTTTGTTGCTCTCGTATCGCTTATAGGCAGATATTATGCGATAGGTGTCTATCTGCTTTAAATAAGGGGGTTAACTACTTTACATGTAACATGCTTAAATGAATTTCCTGTTGGTAGGGCTATGCTTCGCTGAGCCTATTCTAGTTAATGGGTCAGTATGCAACAATCAAGCGTGCATCAGGAAGTACATTTACATTAAAAGACCTATCGTATCAATTTAGGGCTTGTGGCATCTAATCATTTGTTTGTATTACTCTGTTCGGTTGTCAAAATTACTATACCTTTCCTCTGAAAATTTTATTTAGTTCCATCAATGAAAATTAAAAGTGATTTTTGAATTAAAAACTATTTCTTAAACAATTATTTATTCCAATTTTTCAGAATGAAGTCTCTGCAGACAAAGGACTGCCAAATGGCAATCGCCAACTCAAATTGCCTCCAGACAAATTTGATAATTCCAACCGAGTCATTAATCATAATCGTTCAACTAGGATAAAATTAGATTACAAATCACTTGAATTTGAACCAATTTGTGATATTACAGGTATGTTTCTTATATAAGACTATATTTCTTCAACTTGTAATGATAATTTTCATGAATTTTAGGAAGGGAAGCAGTTAGTGCCATTTCAAGAGCACAAAGTCAAAGATGTAAAGAGTGGCTTGTTAATGTGACGTGCCTTAGCCAACAGAATCTATTGTATCCTGCAGAGCTCAAATCTTCTTGTCCGCATTCATTGGGTTTTGACACTACACCAAAAAGCCTGGGTTGTTACAAAGATGATAAAATTGCCAGACTTTTACCCAACTACTATTCTATATTCAAGAATAACAATTCACCTAAACATTGTGCCCACATGTGTCTTCAATCTGGTTTTCCATATGCTGGAGTTGAATATGGGTGAGCATTATAGAAAGTAAACAATAAAAATAATTGTAAACATGTTATCAATGCTTTCTAATTTAATTCAGAGTGGAGTGCTTCTGTGGTAAAGAAGAGCCCCCAGAAACTAGTCAAATACAAGACTCAGAATGTAATAAGAAATGTCCAGGTGATCCTCTTCAAACATGCGGTGGATATTTAACCATCAACATTTTTTCTACCGGAATTAAAAGTATGCTAATCTCGCGATAGATAGGTATCATCGTTGAATTTGAAATTTAAATTGCTTTTATTCTGCAGAGTTCAAACCTCAGGAAGCTAGAAACAATAGTTTTTCGGCAACGGAAAAGCCTTTGGTTCGGATAGCCTATCTACTCACGGTGAATGGACGAGCAAGTCGGCAAGTCAGACGTTTGATTAATACTCTGTACGATCCATCGCATTTGTTTTACATTCACGTCGATTCAGTGAGTTCAAGGAACATAATTAAACCAACTTGAAATGTTTCAACATTATTCAAAACTGTAATTCGCACTCCTCAGCGCCAAGATTACATGTACCGCGAGATGCTGGAGATAGAGGGTAGCTGCAAAAAGGGCAATATCATCGTAGCGAAGGGAGAAAACCGACACGCGAGCATATGGGGCGGCGCCAGCCTCTTGACGACCTTCCTCGACGCGGCTCGACAGATGCTGCTGCGCTCCAAGGACTGGGACTTCCTGGTCAATCTGTCGGAATCTGACTATCCGATAAAGACCAACGCCAAGCTCGTGGAATTTCTCACCTGGAACCGCGGCATGAACTTCGTCAAGTCGCACGGCCGCGAGGTGCAGCGATTTCTCTCGAAGCAGGGCCTGGACAAGACCTTCGTCGAGTGCGAGGCGCGCATGTGGCGCGTCGGCGATCGCTCCCTGCCGCTGGGCATACAGATCGACGGCGGCAGCGACTGGGTCGGTCTGTCGCGCGACTTCGTCGCCTACGTGGCGGCGCCCGAGCCCGACGAGCTCGTCGCGGGCCTGCTGCGCGTCTTTCGGCACACCCTGCTGCCCGCCGAGTCGTTCTTTCACACGGTGCTGAGGAACTCGCGCTTCTGCGACACCTACGTGGACAACAATCTCCACGTGACGAACTGGAAGCGCAAGCTCGGCTGCAAGTGCCAGTACAAGGCGGTGGTCGACTGGTGCGGCTGCAGCCCGAACGACTTCAAACTGGAGGATTTCGGACGTATCAGAGGGACCAGAGAGAGAAATTTGTTTTACGCGAGGAAATTCGAGCCGGCCATCGATCAGAGAATCATCGACAGGATCGACGCTTGGTTGTATCCCGAGAGGATCAATGCCAGCGAGGCTCTGGTACGATCGACTCGCTTTTTTTCTATAGTACTCCGACTAAAGACAGATCCTTTTACTTTTTAGAACAAAGGCATCGACGCTTACTGGCAGAGTCTCTATCATCACAAAGACACGAGTCCACTGGCCGACGACTCGCTGCTGAGCGTCGCGACCTCGCTGGCGCGTTTGATCTATCGTCGTCTGGGCGAGCCGTCGGCCAACGACGGCCACCTGTTCGAGGCGAGCGTCCACTTCAAGGCCAATCGTTTCTCCGGTATTCTCGTGCGCGCCGCGTCTGAGCGTCTCGCCATGGAATCCTCCACGTTGATGGTAAGAAATACGACCTCATAAGAAATATTTGTTTTTTTTTATTTTTATTCTGCTCGACCTCGCAGCAAGCCGACATACCGGAACAGCTGGAGGCGTTCGTACATCCCCGTCGCAATCTGTCGACGAGCTCGTCGTGGCAGGACAAGATCATCTCGCTCGTGGTGAACACCGATTACGATCAGAAGGAGCAGACGTTTCGCAATTATCTCGGGGCCGTGGGGCCTCTGTCGGCGCCCGTGCTGGCCTACGAGCTCGACGCCAGTGTCGCGCTGCCGCTCAACGTCACCGTGCTCTGGGTGGATCCGTTCGACAGGCTCGCCGACGCGATTCATTTGCAAATCGAAGAGTCGGGATTGGTGAGTGTCGATCGTTTTATTCGTACTCGAACCTCGCCTTCTTTCGGTAAATTAAATTGATAATTGGTTTTATTCAGAATAATTGTTGATTCTAATAAAAGGCATTATCGATTTTTGGTAAATTAATTACGTTCGAGTGCTATTGCCGATGATACAGTATCGCGTTTTTAATTAAATAGAGTAATTAAATTATCTCGTTGAACGAGAGAGTGCTCTTAACTCGAATAAAGCGCGTTGAATATCGGCAAATTCACTTGAGAAATATAAAATGATTAAAGTGATGACTTTTCCCTGACCTGTAATAAAATCGTTATCCTTTTATAAAAAAAGTAATGTGATGAATAACGTTAACAATTTCTATAAAAGTAAGCTTGCAGAATTTAGCGCGAGCGAAATGAGCTGAAAAGAGACTAGAAAGCTGAAAATGGACAATTGAGGGGTTGAACATTTTATTAGCATAGATGCGCGAGTGATGAGCCGAATTAATATGGTATTTGAGATACTTGTTAGTTGAGAATTTCTTTCCGCAAATGTCGCACGAAAATTCGACACCGTTATGCGCCATAGTGTGGATTTTTAGATAATCTTTCGTTGTGAATTTCTTTCCACATGTATTGCACGCATGCCTGACACCTTTGTGCACCGAATCGACGTGGACTTTGAGATACCGATTAGATAAGAAGGTTTTCCCACAAATATTGCATACTTTTTTGACGCGATTATGCACCGTATCAATGTGGGTTTTTAGATTACACTTTTGTGAATATGACTTTCCACATGTATTACATGCATATTTGATACTACCGCAGTGTCCCGCATCGATGTGCTTTTTGACATGTATCGAATTGACGTGGTTTCTGAGATTACTTTTAAATTTGAATGCCTTTCCACATGTATTACACGTATGCGTGACACCATTGTGTGCAGAATCCATGTGTGTTTTAAGATGACTGTTTAGTGTGAATGTCTTTTCGCATACACTGCATCTAGGCGCGATACCATTATGCATCGAATCGATGTGGGTTTTGAGATAATCTTTAGTTGTGAACGACTTCTGACATGTATTGCATGTGTGAGTGATTTTATTGTGTACCGAATCCATGTGTTTATTGAGATTACACCTCTTTGAGAATTTCTTTCCGCAAACATCGCATGAGTGGGTAATCCCATTGTGCATCGAATCGACGTGTATTTTAAGATACCATTTGGTTGAGAGTGTCTTTCCGCAAACATCACATGAGTGGGTAATTCCATTGTGCATCGAATCGACGTGGATTTTGACATACCATTTGGTTGAGAATGTCTTTCTACAAATATCACATGAATAGGTGACACCATTATGCGCTGTTTGAACATGCCTATAAAGTCTATTCTTGTCTTTATACGTCTTGCCGCAAATATCACATACATGTTTGACACCATTGTGCACGTAATCGATGTGTCTTTTGAGACTCATTTTGTGCACAAATGACTTTCCGCAAATATTACATAAATGAGTATTTTTATTATGTACCAAACTAATGACTGCTTTGATTTTATGTTCGCTGACAATTTCTCGTTTCATTTCCTCGGCAGGTTCTATTTTAATTTTGTTTTGAGTATTGTAAACATCGCTATCGTTCATATTCTTCGAATGATCTTTACAATTATCTTCAATTTTTGTAACTGCCAGTAAATGAATAGGCTTCACATCTTCACATTCAACGACTATTTCTACTTCTTTGTCAAGTCGTTTTTCAAGTTTAACGTCACATTTTGCAAGGATATCGGTCTGTCGAAAAACGAAGGTTATGTTAAAATTTTCAGAAGAAAAACAACTGAAATACTAGTCACAAATAATTTTAAACTCTTACTGAATATTCTCCGAAGAATTGGATATGTTTAACATCGGGCTTCTCATCAATCACATTGTTATCATTCTCAACAAAAGACGTATCACAAGGTTCTTCTTCCACTCTGAAATATTTCCAAGCAAAATCAAATATTGTGGTCTGAAACTTTTTTATACTTTAATTTCTCGTATCCTGAAAATTACCTGACAGAATTAGGTATATCACCGGATTCCATTTGTTTGCACTTGGAATTACATTAATTAATATAGTTAAATAACAATCAATCTTTTTGCAACTTTTTACACGTCCGACTATTCCGAAAACTGCGTGTCTATGCGAACTGAGCACTAGTGTTTATACTCAACTAGCTCATATCACACAGCTCTCCGTATTGCTATATGCCCAAATCACCGCGTGTCGTCCAGGAGAGGTCAAGCGTGCGATGCGCGACGTAAACAACAGAAAACGTGCACGGCAATCGGCTTAAATTTCGCATTACGAGATTTCGAAGTTATCAATGTAAACCAAGCAAAACCAAATCGTTATAATTATGTCACTGAAAAAATGCCCTTATATATCTCACTTCTAATGAATGGTTAACAATAATGCATTACCGTAGAAAAATGAGAAATCAAAAAAATGTATCTTTGGTGCGCGAATCGCACTGAGAAAGAGCCATACATATCATACTAAAAATGACCGTCAAGTTTCGCGCGATAGTGCCTCTCCGCAAACGTCGGGCCCCTCCGCGTCTTTCAAGGTCAGGCCGTAGCAGACGCGTATCCTTTTCCTCCGTTTCTCAGTCCTCCGAGCGAATCGAGAGACGCCATGACTCGTCGAGATATGTGGCTCGCGCTCCTGCTTCTCTCGAGAGAACTGTGATATTTTTGTTACTACCATGTTGCTTTATCGAAGATTAATTTTTTATTCTGTGAGATGCAATTAGTACGGTAAGTATCGTTTTCGATTTGTTATTCAAATTATTACATTCGAGTAAAATTAACGAGATGGTTCGTATAGTTTCAGACAGGTAAAAAAAATGAATACTGCGTATCAACGAATTGCCCTCGTCCTCTTGATATTTAATCTCACTGAGGTGACACTCGGTCAAGCGAAGAAGCGAACACCTCTGAAGGACATCAAGCCTTACAGGCCCAACGTAAGTGTATCATCGTTTTCCAAGGAATCTCCGTGAATTTTCTTTCGAAGCTGCTGTTTCCTTCCCGCAGGTCGAGTGCGACGATCCGAACAAGCCGTGCGATGTTTTCATGTCCGTGGACCTGGCCAACGGCACGAGAAACAAGGACGGCTCGGTCAGCATCGGCGGCGTGACCATCCCAGCCACCCTTCAGTTTCGCTACTACGGCCAGGATCGGGGCTGCCCCTGCGGTCTGAAAAAGTGCATCAGACTCTGCTGTCCGCGGGGCCTGGTGGCCGACGGCGACTGCCGTCCACCCAGCAGCGGTTCAGCGGCTAATCCGCGGAATTTCTTCGACGAGCTGCCCGACGGCCTGCTGTCGCCCAAGATCAAGAGCTTGGACGACGATTTTTACGTCATCCACGAGATGGACTGCTCGACGCAGCCCAGCGTCGATCTGTTCGTGACAGGACCGAACAGATTCGCGGGCGAGAACTTCACCGTCACGGAGGACGGCGAGCTGATCGTGGAGAGCTACTACACGTCAGCTGCGGACAGGAAGAAGAGATCGGCCAGCTACGGTCCCGAGAGATACTGCATCGGTTGGTCGGAAAAGTATCAGGGGGTCAAAGTCCAGACTTGCAGAAGTCGCGAGGAGGTGCGGCAGGCCGAGGAGGCCGGACAGAAGCTCAAATTTCAGAAGAGGGACGGCATGCAGAAGAAGAGTAAAAAGAGAGAAAATTGAAAAATTATAAATTATTTTACTTTTAGTTACGAATTTTGAATAAACTTTATTATTTTACACAGAAAACTGGATTTTTATTAAAATGATGCCCTATGTTCTCCTCTATATAAAGCTATCAAATCGAACTTCTATTAAATTTAGATTTTCATTTTTTCAGTTGGGCCACGTAAAACCACAACTGACCGATCCATTGGTCATCGGCCTCTGGCACGTCTACATCGTCGCGGACTCGAAGGTAGTCGCTCGAACTTCGTTTCCCGTCGCGCCGCTGACCCACTGGAAGAACAAGCCCATAACGAGGAACAAAGCGCGAGAATTGAACTCGGGACCCATCTCCACCGCTGCCGCGTACAGTCACGTGACGAAGCAGAGCATCGAGAAGTGGCGCAAGGCGCTCGAGCTCGATCTCCAACTGGACGAGGTGAAGATCGAGCTCGAGGAGCGTTGGGGCTGGCAGCTCGAGCGCTGGCTGGACTCGATGGTGCAGGACAACTACGAGATCGTGAGAATCTGCGACGCCGGCGAGGAGAGACGCAGCAGGATCCGCGGCCCGAGGAGGCCGAGGACGCTGCAGCGCTGCGTCGACACCGACTGGAGCTCGCTCAGTCCGGACCCCAAGTCCGACGTCAAGTCCATCTGTCGAGACTGAAATGAGCTTTCTTTTCCTTTTTTTTTGAGGAGCGAAAATAAAACAACTGCCAAAGCTACGAAAGGCGCGTCAAAATTGCATTAAGATTGCTTTTGAGAGATTTCGAGGTGATTTTTTTTTAATGATCATTGTTCATTGTACTGTACAGGGAAGAAACATATTGAGAATTTTAAATTCTGAAAGATTGGAAAAAAGACTTGAGCAATAAGCAAATGTTCCATTAGCGTGTTTCGTTGAAAATCAAATCCGTCTGATACGAATATCGTTTGGAATGAGATTTATCAGTTTTTTGAACTACTTTTTTTATAAGATATTTCAATAGGCCATGATTAGTATTAGATAATTTGTATGTAATATCATGCCATAATTCTTATCAGAACCTAAATAAGGTGGTAAACTTATTTGAATATTATCTACGTGTTTGCATTTGTAGTAATTTTGAGGATGAATTTCATATCGAAATTGAGTCAAGGAGTCAATGTCACATATCCGCCAACAAGCTTTATCAATAAAAAAGAAAGCAGTGGTTTTGAGAACAATCTAGTGCTGCAATAATAATACGTCATTTAGTGAACTAGGAGGAAAATTCGAGCAATCAAAACATTACCGTTTTAAAAATTCTGCATTTTTGTCAATTTAGAAATATTGTAATTATGAACTTTTCATAAGTATAGTAAAAAAGTTTGGATCATCGAGTATCCAATGCTTGATAATACAATTTATTGTATAGTAGACACATGAATCGTGTATCCGATGAATGAAATTTAGAGGAGCACGATGATTAGAAAATTTGACTTCATTCGTGACTGAATAATGTCTAAAATCATGAGATAAACCAAGATTATACTATAAGTATCAATCTCTCAATTTGACAATAATAATATTAATAATTTAAGAGTATAGAGTTACGATTATAATGTTGTCATCGTTAAAACTAATTTTTGAATAAATTCATCACATGACATCACATCAAGAAAGTTAAGCTGCGATTTTACTATCATGATCTAAGTGTAATTGATTTTTGTTTGTCATTAGTGTCGCTTTTACTCAGTATTTAGCATAATTTTATAATTACTGACAAATACTTGTGATATTTCATAGTTTTTAAAATTTTTTTGATTGTTTGAGTCGTTTGATGTTCGTTTATATACCTTATCAAATTACCATTGCGATGAAAGACACAATTTTATTAGTATAGTTTATTTACAAAAAAATGTGCCATTCCTTGTCTTGAAGCGACGAATCACGAACAAAAAATATATAGCGTTTGAAAATGTATTTTTATAGCCGAATTGAACGCTGTACATGAACTTTTATTCAAATAATCAATACATACAATCGATGTAATCTGATTGTAATCGATTCAACACTTTTTATGATAAAATATTGATATTTGCTATTTGATATGAAAGAAAATAAATGAATATTTTATGTGTATATTTAAATGTATATTCAGATATCTTGTTGAAGTGTATTCGAAAATTTCAAACTACTATTTAATACTCATTATTCTATGAAATTACTTTCTTGTACTAATAATCTTTCCAAAGATCTACTTCTTCTTGAATATAATAAATATTATATAACAAATAAAAGCCTTACCATTACGTATCTGATAGTTGTTTTCTTCAGCCTTGCAAATAGAAATAGTGTGATAAAATATAAGATATTTTCTTAATAAAATTCAAATGGAAATTAACAATTGTTTGAATAATTTGAGAAAAAAATGGAGTACTTTTTAATTATAGAAAATTGATTTTTAGTTTGAAGAGTTTTCAAAATTTTTCGCCAATTCAATCGATTTATATTGAAGAATAATGTTTGTTTAAAAATGGATAACTTAGTGAGACACTTATCTATGCGATAAACAAACGGCTGATATTCGATACAAAGGGTTATTTAGGGCATTTATTTTCAAATAAAAAATAATTATACATAATTTTCATCAATTAGTAAAATCCCAGGGGCTTACATAATATTATTACAATATTTGAAATAAAATCAACAAATGTATGCGAAAAAAGGCGGGTGACGAGTAAATTGAGCACAAGTGGCACTGATTATAATACAAGGTGACATTAAAATATATTTGTTAGAATATAATATAAATCAATTAATAGCGTTGTAGATTATGAAAATAAAAGGGTTTCACAAAAAAAAATTATAACAAACTTAAAAAAGCGCGAGCTCAATCGCATAAAATAAAATATAAAAAGCATATCTGATTTTTTTTCTCTGCGCGCTTATGCATTAGCACGCGAATCACATGATTTATAGTCGTAGTGCGCTGAAAAAACTGATGATAATTAATACGCCTGGGCATCGAGATGCCCACTAACACCTACGATTAAAATTACAATTTATGTATATATAAAATTTTCATCTTATAGCCATTGAAAGCTATGAAAAAAAGACAATTAAAATATTTTGATCTCGGCAAGACCTTAAAAACGATACACTCATCTTTATCTACATAATCGAGAACGTTTATAAATTTTTCTTAAAAGCTTTTAATCGTTTACAAAGCCAATTACAATAGGGTTTAAACTTGCTCAAAGTTTAAAACCTTTCATCGTTTTACAAAATAGCATATTGCACACTCGTTTCTTTTTCCGTTTATATCAATAAATTGATAATAAATAAAGCTTCAAGAAGGTTCATTATCTTCACTTAAAAAATACCCGTTGAAAATTCGAGACTTTTTTTGATTTACTCTCAACTCTTTGTCTTTTTCTTAGACAATGTGTTTTATCTATTAATTAAAATATCGTTTGATCTTTAGTTTATCATATCGTCAATAAAAAAAAACGTTTCTTTCACAACCGATTAATCGATTATTTTGTCACTAAGACAAAGCTTAATATTTTGGCAGTCTCGTTCGTAGTAAAATATATATATCAACATTTACGGAAAACGGATGCATAAATGCGCCAAGAGTGCTTAAATTAATAAACAAAGGGAGAAGTCATTCAAACGTCCCCGTTGCTAACGGTAATGGAAGCCGGTTGCTGGACCGATGTCCATTTATTCTTGTGCGGATCAACGCCAAAACCCTCGTCGTAATTTCCTCGGGTTATAAAGAGCTGCTTAAAGTGTGGGATGCAATAGAGCTTGCCGTTATTCAAAGTGAAAGTATCCATTCTGAAAGGTCAAGAGAGAAAAACATTTTTACCATACTGATATTTTTCAAAAAATCAAAGTCAAGAGTGATAAATACCTCAGGATACAATTGCACTGAAGACATCTGAAGCACTGCTTGTGGAATATCTTATTGTTCGTTTCCACTTTCTCAAGTGGATAGACCTTCTTCTCGCAACTTTCGCACACATCGATGCAGTTCGTTTGAATTTCCTATGAAACCATGGGGGGGTTCGTAAAAGAATATGATATAGATGAGAAAATATGTGAAAGAAATTAATGCTATAATGTTTCGAACTTTTTCATCGACTTGAAGCTGGAAAATTATAAGTGAAAAGAAAAAGAAGAAAAAAATTAATTACAACATAAATTTTTATTCAGAAAAAATCAGTTTGACCCTCAAAACTCGATTTTCGCTTCTTAATATTATAAATTTTCTCAGTTATCAGTGTGTCTCGGTCGCTTGTATATAAAATATTACACTTTAAGACGAATTAGACAGTGCATTATTAAGTATATTTTTCAATCCTCAAAAAATATTTGTTTTTTTTTTAATGATTAACAGAACGCAAACTTGTAAGAACTAGCCCTACGCATAAAAATTAAATTTAGTACACATACAATTTTAACATTCCGCAATTTAAAAAAAAACTTACAAATCAATAAAATTATTTCATAAAAAAGACACAACTTTTTGAAAACTGCAAGGAAATGCATATTGATTCAATAATTCAGAAGTCATGAGACTGTAAGCAAAATTTATTGATATGCATTTTTCGATAAATTTAATCGATTAAAGAATTACATTTTAACTACAACTTACGCAAGTTTACATACGATAAATTAACAGATTTTGTTCTCATAAAGAATAACGGAAATTCCCTACTTTTGTGAACAATGCATGTTGTCATATTTTAAATGATAGACATTCATTGTGCAATACAGTCGATATAGTACTTGTGCGATGAGAAATTTTTATATAAAAGGCGGTTACACATCTCTAAGTGAGTGAAATTACACTGCCGAAAATATATACCATTTCTCTGTGTACTGTACTCAACTTGGTAATACGTTAAAATATTATTTCTTTTTTTTTTGTTTACATGGCTCACTATGTATAGTTCTGTATTAATGGTACCGAGTGCGATTCAAGCGATAAGTTTAAAATGTCTTTAATTTTGGTACAGTTCGAAAGTTGCTTTTATAAAAGTATATATCGATCGTTATAAATGTTATTAAAAATATCAATGAGAATATTTATATTATATACTTGCTTAGGCACCTTATGTACTGACAAAGCAAGTACATACGTACAATATAATTATATATTTAGAATAAGAGTATTGTTATTAGCTTGTTTGTATTTTTTTTCCTTTTTTTATAAATTCCGGTAGACTACAAACGAAATTGTGAAAAAATATTAATCTCAAAAAGACATGCATCGACATCATAACATATTCTATGATAAAGCGATTTAACGTTGCACTTGGCACTTTGAGCTATTAAAGTTCAATTTTCTTTCTTTCCTTCTTTCTTTCTTATTATTTACTTTTTTTTGTTGAAAATATCTAAGTAATGCGATGTGTATAAGTACATTACAGTAATGTTTTTCATAATTGTCCCACTCATACATACACGATTTTCCCTAGCCACTTTTCTTTTAAATTTTTCCGCAAAACATTCTTAATTCTTTAGATAATCAATGGGAATTCGCTTTCGCATACATACTCGAGCTTTTTTTATTTTCAACAAAAGTGAAGGAAAATATCTATATTTGTCTGACTTACAAGGCCATAAATTTCATAAAATCCGCTAAAACGCACAACATTTCAAGATAAAATTATCTCTAAAAACATAAAGATGAACGCTATCTATGTAATATATTCTATTACTATTAAGATCGGACATTTGTTAGATCGGGTTTTTTTTTTAAAATTGTAATAGCATCTTTGGTTACGATCGACGATCGGCGAATTCCAGTAAAAACGTAGAGCTCATTATAACTAGACCTACAACTGCACTCTACATATATTGCACTATTGAAATGTCCGATCTTGCTTAAATATCTTTTTTTATAATAAATAATTATAATCCGCGATAACCATAATAAATAATGACATTAAATAATCAATCAATAAAACGGGGCGATCGCTATGAAATTGTTTAAATGATTCATGTGGTCTGTCATTCATCCGTGTACATTATGAGGCCTTCGACTCCGCTACATCAACTTCTTCCAGTTGTTCAAAGTTCCGCTGCACATGATCTTTTAAAACAGTTTTTGTGTTTCGGAAAGTTGAGCGACACATCCTACTCGTGCTTCTCGGCTTCTTGCTTCGTGTGACGGCTAGTAGTCGATTACTATTTGCCACGGGAGAAATATCAATCATAAATCATCGGTCAATTCATCATTGACTATTGGCAAAAAAAAAAAAAAAAAAAAATTACACAACACGCAGAAAAAACACAATTGTTATTGCTTGTATGAGTTTGAGACGAGAAACGAAAAAATTTAAAGCTTTTTAGAATTTTAGTTGTACGACAGAGAAGCAGCAGCGTTTGAAAACAGGTTAATGTGTTCGCTTTATAAAGGATTTTCTTTTGACGTGGATAGAAATTACATTGATAAGCTTGTGTGCCATTATTTTTTTTTTTTTTTTCAACTAGAGCTGACCCTGAGCCTCACTTTCTAATACATCATTGTAACTAAACTGTTCATTCATGCAAACAAAAATTTTTAAACGTATTATGAAAATTATACAAATTAAATCAAAGTCAGCTCGTTGTGATAAACGCAACCGAAATTAATCGAAGTGTCTAAGTATAAAAGAATCAGTCATGCTATAGGCGAACAAAAAAATAAGTAACAACGTAAAATATTGTTCATGATGTGTCCAATCAAATTAGGGTACATAATAAAATTAGCTAAAATATAAACGTAATCAACACTAGAAATAAAATTGATAAAACTGAGAAACCAATTAAACTTAAAATTAATCAGCGAATTCAGCACAACACTTATTTAGATAAAACGTGCAATTTTGAGGGTCAAACACGGTTAATTCAATTATTCAACTATTTGATTGAGTATAGCGTTAACGTAAAAAGACTTGTTTAATGCGCATCTGAAGTGCACGTTTGCGTGTTACAGTAATGATGATAATAAGATAATCAAAGCGTGAGATTATCGAAAAAAAATTAAAACAAAAATAAATGTTTCTTAGAATCAACGTGCATAAAACAGATGAACGAAAAATTTACAATCACAGAAAAAGTTCGAAATTGCAGTAGCCTTTTATCTTTCGATTCGGAACTTTTTCTTCACCGGCTCTGGGCGTTAATTATCATCGTACTCATTGATTTAATCGAAGGAAAAAAGAAATAACAAAATGAAAAGAGTAAGTATTAAGGTATTACAACTTGAACGATCAATGCCAACGAAAATAACAAATAATAAAAAAAGCCTCAGAGGCACTCGAATAAAACTCTGCTCCTCCGGCCGGGGAGCTATGAGGCACTACTACTTTCACTTACCACAAATCGATTGACCTTGACCTTAGGCGTGCGCGGTGCCTCTTGCGGCGTCGAGCCCAGCGACTCGAAGCGAGCTCTCAGGGAGCTGGCTGACTCGATGCTCGGCTGGCTGCCGTCGGTCTGGGCCATGTCCATCTCGGCCACGTGATGATGATTGTTCGTCGCGGCGGCTTTCGCGTCGCTCGTCTCCCACTGCTCGAACTTGGCGCGCAGAGTCTTGGCGCGCACGGCGCCGTTGTTCGCCTGCTTCAGGAACTCGTCCTCGACCTGTCGTTGAAAATGCGCGTTGAATGATTCGATTCTCGAAGAACAATGAGTAATTTTACGTACTTTATCGGAAGCCCGAACGTAGTTGGGGTTCTGTTCCTCGTCCTCGGACTCGTCGGCCTCTTCCTCCTCCTCGCCGGACTCGCTGGCCGTGGCTTTGCCGAATTTGTCCTCGGGCGGCGGCGTGAAACGTTTGAGGGGCTTCGGGCCGTCGGGCAGGTCCTCCTTGGTGGCCTTCTCCTCCATCTGGCGGAAGAAGCCGAGCATCTTGCGGGCCGTGTCCGTGTGGACGATGTCGTCGGTGGCGCGATCGTCGGCGCGCACCACTTCCGGATCACGGTAGATCTCGCGATCTGGCGAATCCAACTGTGGAAAATAAATTTTGCCGATTATTGAGATGTTGCACGAAGGGGCGACAAAGATCTCGAATGGTTGAGAGTTAATTTCAAATGTCACGGCAAACTGTTAGAAAAACGCTGTTAATGATCACTCCATGATGTCGATTATTGAGTCTATTTTTAATAAAAAATTCTTGACTTTTGATACCTTCCCTGAGACTTTTAACAAATCGCCTACACAACTTTATACAAATTTCTGCACTGCTTAACGATCTAACGATTTCGCGCAATTAAATTCATTATAATGAAAGAAAAGCTCCGTCTCTTTCTCTCTCTCACTACAGCGGCGAAATATCGGAAAACTCCTACGAGAAGGCCGCGTTAAATTCTGAAGAAGCGCACACACACACACACACGAGAGTGCCTCGGCTGGCAATTAAAAGGATTTTGCATGAGAGAATATTTTATGTATGCGTAGCACAGTATAAACAAGTGGCATGAATTTCACGGAAAAGTGATCCTCGGCATACGTGTGCACATTTACACATTTTGCTCGAGATATCCCGCGCGCGCGAGAAATAATTCGTTTGCTTTCTAACCGACGCATGCGAAATCTCCTCCGCTTCTGCAGCATATATGTATTCGCGCGGCGCCGCGCGAGAGATCGCTAACTCTTCATTAGCGGCACGAAACTCATCGGTTCGTATCTATACATTTTTTTCAACTAATTTTTCTTTCTCTTAAATTGAATTTCAGTGTTTGATACGGTGTCCCCACCCCTCATGGTTGAGCTTTTTACGCGCCGGTGGTGCTTTTTGACTTAATTATTCATAAACACATAATACGCTTGCGAAGGTTGCGCGGAGTATTTTCGTTACATGCATGCACCACCTCGCACAACACTCGAGACTCGCCGAGTTGGACTTTTTTTCACGAGGCCATGGCAGCCAGCTTGTGTGACAGCGCTATACGATGCACATTTTTTCTTTCGCGGATCTACTCCATAGAAAATTTTAGTTCTTGCAAAAACGAGAGTGCTTTGATATACATATAACGAGAGAGCAGTCTATAAACGATCTCGATGGGTAATTTAGCGATTTTATTTTTTATTATCACTTTTAAACACCTGCGCATGCCACTAGTCATGTGTGTGTGGGGGAGCCGTGTACAGCACACACGTCTTATTATTATATATTAAGGATGTATTAGTGTGAAAAAGGAGAACGGAACAGATGATGACGATGAGAAGAAGACTTTCAAGCGCGCAATAAAGAAAAAAAGTTTGAAAGTCGAGATTCTCACAGGCACATCGAATTACACACGCGTATGCAGTATATGTCAGTACCGCTTGCACGTATAGGGTACACGCATACTCTTTAACGATAAATCGACACGAGATGGAAATCATCCGTAGTTGCTCTTTTCTTTTTATTCAAATGAAATCTAGCGATCGATGATACCCGTGTATCAACCCCCGCTCGATCGAGTATTCGCGAAAAGAAACGAAAACGTCGCGAGGAGAAAATAGAAATGGCATAAAACGTCGCACTCACACATACGAGTCGTATCCCATACACACGTATATTTGTTCGCCAAGTGAATAGCGTATATACATACACCACCGCTCGGGCATTGTGTCAAGCGCGTGCGTATATACGTGCCTGCAATACATAACTCGCGCGCGGGTGCAATTAAAAAAAAAAGAAGAAAAAAAAAATTCGCGCACAGAGCGGAGAGATATCACGCGCGCGCGAGCGTCTCTTTTTCGCTATAAAAGGCCGTAATATAATGCAAGGCCATCATTATTATTGTCTGTTTGTTCGAGTGCGTGTGTATGTGTATAGTACCACACGGGTCTATTTAAAGGAAAGCGTGCAAAAAGAGAGTTTATCGCCTCTGCTCGTATATCCCATTTATATTGTTTATGTATAAAACTCTTTCGAGTGCCTTCCTCTCTATCATTGGATTCAACGTTTATGACGTTATAGCTGGAGAGAGAGAGAGATGGAGAGAGGAGAAAATTAGGTTGAAGAATTGTAAAATATATTTCATATAAGGGATAAAAAGCTCACTCGCGCGATTGCATTTATACACATGACAGACACACGAGAGTCGAGAGAGAGAATAGAGATACGAGAGATGAGAGATGAGAGAAAAGATCGACTATACACATACGCGTGTATCTTGTCTTTATTAATGTTTTGAGAGAAAGAGGCATCATCCTATATATGTAAATGTATAATTTAAGCTCGGGATTCCATTCACATGCTCGTGTGCGCGCGGAAGGCACTTTTTCAAACGGTTTTATGCGCGCCTCTATGCGAATGTGTATATAATATAGCACTCGCGCAAAAAAGGGCGAGTCAGCAGACTTCGGATGTTAATGTATATGTGTGCGTGAGTGTGTGCGTTGTCTGCAAAGACTCCAGGAAAGAAAGAGCACGCGCGAGAGGGACACACACATATATACAGCAGCGGCAATAGTGCAACCGACGACGATGACTCACCGAATGCGCGGCGGCACCATGAGTATAAAATAACCATAATCGATACTAGGAGTAATTTGAGTTTCGAGTGAGTAAAGGAGGAAGAACAAAAAACAACATACGCAAAAAGGGACTTATATAAATGTGTACAGAATTAAAAAATTCGAGGCTCTCCAGCGTTACCTGCAACATGATTTTCAAAGAGTCCTCTCGATCGTTAGTTACACCTGTCGCGCTCGAATCCCTTTTTTCCCCTTTTCCTTCTTTTTTTTGTTTTTTTTTTTATTCTGCCGAAAGAACGGAAAATAACCACTGGCGCAGACACACTGTACAACATATACACACACACGGACGAGAGGACGCGCGCTCTTTGTAACACAAACTAAAACGCGCGGCCTGTGCTGTGTGCGATATAAGGTTCGCTCTCTTCGTTCGCAAGTAGCCAGCCGCCGCCGACACCACCGCTGCCGCTTCCGAAGGGGCCTTATACACACTTATCCCCACCCGATTTTTCGGTGCGCGTTTATGTGTGTGTGTGCTTTATGTATATGTAAGTGAATCGAGACGCGGCTACCCCATCCGTACATATACGAGATCGTGACTTTTTCAATGACGCCTGTTTTTTTGCTCTCCATAAAGCTTGGGGCATTATTATATTTTGTGTAGGATCTAACCGATTCGCACATTTTGACAGTTTACGAAAATTACGGCTAATATGTATAGAAACAATGCGCAGCTTTTACATCTCTCTCTCTGTCTTGCGCATCTGGAGCAGCTGCAATTGATACAATGATAAATGTGTGTTTCTGTAACGGATATATCGTAAAAATGAAAGTGTAATGGCACACACGCGCGCGCGCGCGCGCCATATAACCGCGAGCTATATAATTCGGAATTTAATCGTTATTGTTTCGAATGCACCGCGCATTACACATACGTGCATTCGAACGAAAGGAAAAAGCTCTCTTTCCGGAATCGTATTTATACGCAGAGCACCTGAGAGAAATTTTCGTTGGGCCTGCAATGCGCACTGTTTTTTTTTTTTCACTTCAACCCCGCGCGAAATGTATAATACCGATCGTCGGGGGGAACCGCCGATGACTCTGAATCGAGATGAAAGTATCGTTACAATACACGGATGTTACGAGTCAAGTTAAATTCGGAGCACGACGTCTGACTGACATTATTATATTTTACCTTGCTCGAAGCGTTCGGGGACGTTTGCTCCTTCCAAATTCTCATTATGCCTTGTATTATGCACTTTTATATTATCACGACACCTACACACACACCTACACCCACACTCGATACGTATAGCCGCAGTGACACTCTAGTAATCACACACTTTTGCGCACTGCAAAGGGTGGCACGAACAACACCAACAACGGTCGACGTCTATATCGTCAAAAAGCAGAGACAGTCAGAAAGATATTTCGGAGCACAGACACAACGCACGAGATTCGCAATGCACGTCTAGCTTGATCCGGGCTGCTCGCCTACCACCGATGGTCGCACGTATGTATAAGCGCCTATATGCAACTCTTAACGGTAAAAGTAGGATGTGTGTGCACGCGATCGAGGAGGAGGCCCCGTCGCGCCTCGAGTCTTATATATTTTATACTTCTGTACGGAGCTCTCGTCGCCGCACAACTGCTCCGCTGTCTCTGTGCTCGGCTCTGCGCGTAGCACATATCCTAAAGCCTCGTACCCGACCGACGACGACGACCACTTCTTCGTTCGCTCTTTCTTTCTTTCTTCCGTACACGATCGGGAGGCTCTCTCGACTCTGTGTACTTATGTGTGTGTGAATACGTCCCATGCATGCCCCGCATGTGTGCACGTGTGTGTAGTGTCTGTCTGTGTGTGCGCGCGCGGTGCATATGGCAAACGAGCGAACGAGGTTCAAGGACAGGTATGGAAGGGATTTTGCGCTTTCTGCGGCCAGCAGCAGCTCTCTGCACGTCGTTCAAAGCCATACACAAGCTATATATGTTATAAGTAACACACATCCGATGATGCGTGCGCGCGCGTGTACATTTTGCGCAATTTTTTTATTTTCACTCTCGCTCGCGCTCGCAAAATTGAAATTTTATTCTGTTCTCTCGCTATCTCACGAGCACACGACGCACTACGACGCGTGCAATTTGTAAAATCGTTAAACGATATACCCCCCCGAGTGAATCCGTGAATTATTTGTCGTTCGTTCGTAATGTCCTCTCTATTCGCTAAAGAGCGAGAGGAGAGATCGAGTAATAAATGCCTCCTTCTCGAACTCTCATGGAGTCGAGAGAGAGAGAAAGAAAAAGGGTTTTTACGCCGTACTCGTGAAATTTTGTTTCTCCGGCTCCTCGTGCGTGGCGTGATGTTTTTTTTTCCTTCCTCTCGATTTTTTTTTGTTGTCCGATCTGCACCGCAGCACCACCGCCGCATCCTACTTCTCCTTGCAGCATGTGCCATTATATTATATACATATATGGTATAGGTACAGTACGTACGCGTAATCGGCCGAGCGATGACGTACACGAAAAATATCACCTCTCCCCCCACGGTACACACGCGATAACCGCGTCGAACGAACGAACGAACGAAAAAAAAAGCAAAAGCAAAAAAAAAAATTCAAACGTTAAAAAGTGTATAAGCGCGACGCGCGGGTAAACGCTATAAAAATCTTTGCCCTGAATTATATACGTGTATATATACGCGGACACGCTAAGCTCGCTTTAACGAGGCACTTATTCATCCCGCTTGATTACTATCGGCCCTTTTCGTTTTTTACAACCCAATCGTAAAATTGAAAAAAAAAAAAAAAAAAAGAACGAAGAAAAAGAAGAAGAGGAGGAAACTTCATTAACCGGTGCAACTGAGCGACGGTAAAAGTTCCAGTCGAAAATTCAATTTTCCTCGTGATTTCGGCAAAAAATATAATATAAAGGGAGAGTTCGTTTCGACCGCACGAGTAGTTGAATTTAATGTTTATATTCCCACGTTAATGACCGATGGTAGTAATGGTGGTAGCGGTGATAGTGGTGGTGTGCCCCAAAAATTGAAACATTCATAATGGTAATAACGAGACACGAGTGAAACACATACACAATATGATACACAAGAACTAACTATACGAGCGCGCACACACGAGCATTTCATTATTTTCTGCGGCCATATAATGCAGAGGGATTGTCGTGAGAAAACGCGACGTCGATCTCGCACGCGCGTATACGTACAAATTTATACAAAGTAATGGCACGTACATAGGAGTCGACTCCGCAACGTTCGACAGTCGGAGAAATGTTGTGAATTCTTTTTTTCTCTCTCGTACGTAGTTTTAGTCATAAAGCGTCGTTAGATGACGAGAGGGAGAGAGATCTACATTATCGACGCGATGATCGTTTGTGAGCGTTAAAAAAAAATCCCCAAGTGCCTTCGGTTTTACGTGCATTTCCAAGAATGCACGTATACTGTGTGTGTATGTGTGTGTATATTTGTTGTAGGTACATACGAATTAGCGGATATGAGCGCGGCAGTAAACGCTCGCTCTAGCTCTCGTGCGCGCCGTTAATTTGCAAGCACGGGTTAATTGGACAGAAACGCGGCGCGCAAACGAGACGCTCGCGCGCACACGCACAAACTACAGGACAGCACAAATTGTGGCGTATATTAGCGTTCGACGAATGTGTGTTATAATAAATGGACGGAAGAATTAGGAAGGATTGTCAACAACGAAAACAAACAAAAAAAAAACAAACAAAAAACCTGCGACTGCCTTTCGTAACTTTCTTCTCTCGCTTCTCGCGAGAGAACGGTAGAGAAATGTCACAAAAGTTTTGCGCAGCGCAGGACTTTGTGTTGCGTGTGTCGTGCAGTCAGTCAAAAAAAAAAGGGGGTTTTATCATCGTCATCGAACCTTGACTTGTCCGTCACGAGGCGGTGTGATCCGAAACTGTTTGCGCGTCTTTTCTGGCTCTCTGTAGGTTTCGAAGAACTTGAATTTGTTCGAAATGTCCGAGGTCTCGACCTTTACCTCTTCGGTCTGATCGCTGCTACGCACCACGTCGTCCGACACTTGTCGGCCCATGAATGCCTGGTTATAGGTTTTATCGTATTTTTTAAAAAAATTCATTTATATTCAATCAACGACTTCGCGTTGTTATTGGGTCGTACTCGATACCACTTCGAGAGCCATCGTGTGCCTCGATGCGATCGATTGGAACGCAAATAATAAATGAAAAAAGAAAAAAGAACAATACTCACGTCGCGCGCCCTCCTGCTGGTGGGGGTCTCTGGTGCTTTGGATTGACTGTTGGGCGTCACGGGTCTGCCGGTTTTCGCGGCCGTTGCGTCCATCTCGAGGAACAGCGAACGGGATTTTCTGCTTATTCCTGGAGAAAGAAAGATGAATGCAAAATGTACTCGATGCTCGAGGATATAATTACGTATACACGTATTTTATATATGAGATTCGTCGATGCATAAAAAAAATTGCGTGAGCAAAAAAAATAAGGCTCGTGCAAGAACGAAAGTGTTGTTGTGGATAAGAGCTGCGGCTGCTGCTCTCCAGCATTAGTTATCGACAATCTCCTCAAATAGGCTCGTATCGTATAATTAAAAACTATACGTACAGGTTTGATGTAATGCGATAAGCAAGAGGATAGTCTTCAACGCTTCGTCTATCTTACGAGAGGTTCTTGACCTCCACTCGAGAGAGAGAGAGAAAAGAAAGAAAGATCAAGAGAGAGCTCGAATTACCTGCGGCAAGTATCTCCTCGTCCGGCTTTTCTGATTTGTTCTTGGCATTTTCGATTTCCTCGTCGCTCGTCGCCGCGATCGGTTCGCCACGTTCGAAGCGCTCCTTAATGGAGCGCGCGTTTGTCGAATGTTGGATCTCTTCCACCGCGTTGATTTTCTGAATTTTATCGCTGTCCGCCACGGCCTGCTGGTACATTTCCTTCATTTTGCCTTGTTTGCCCTGCAAATAAATGCGCACAGATATAGACACGATGACAAGCAGCATACAATATCGACTCTCTTTTATATTTTCGATATACAGTGAGTCAAGAGCAATAGTTTGTATCACTCGTGCGTGGTACGTGTAGCTTTTAACGATGTTTTTTTTTCAAATCATTCGTTTTTTTCGTTGTTGCTCATTTCTCACTTCTTCCATTACAAAATTTTCCGACCCGAAGGAATTGGCACATTACATTATTCTCGAGTCTTTTCCTATTATTAAATTGTTCTTCTCGCAACAACGAGCAAAAACAGTTTCTATATTAAGTATCCTCGGAAAAAGTCGTTAGTCGCGCAGACGTATACGCGGACATTTTTCTTTCTTTTTCCGTGCTCTCCGATTCGTGTTACGTTATTTTCTGGGTCACACACAAGCGAGAGAGACAGAGTAGAGAGAGCGTAAGTTATTTCCGGCGACGCGCCAAAATGAATCGCCCTACGGTGTGTATATGTAAGTGTGCGTATTTGCGCGTGCTTGCATCTCTCTAGAAAAGCTCTCCTTCTAATGCTACTGCACGTGCAAGTTTTGTTCTTGAATGAGTACGCAGTGGACGCGCGCGCGCGAAACGATACTCACTCCTCGAATCAACGTCGCGACCGATTTATACGTTAAAATGTAGAAACTCCGCTCTAACTTGTGCATATATCGCACACGGAGTCGTAGCTTTTGTTGTAACTTATGAAAAAGCTTCACGTTTTATGGCACACTCGTTGTTCCATGCCAAGCGCACGAGCGTCGTTATTCAAAAATTTTTTATGCATAAAAGAAAGTGCCGATAATCTCCATACGTATGAATACAATTTATAAGCAGATAAGCCGCTTTTTTTCGTTCGGTGCATCGAAAAGCACACATCACACAGCACGAGCGAGGCAAACTTTTTCGTTCTATCTCTGCGCGAATCCATCCTCGGATAGCAGTAGTATAGCAGAGAGACAAAAAACTGCAATACAGTGTCGAGAGAGTCGAGTCGACTCCGCGTACCATGAAGAGCCTCGAGCGTATTCCGGCGATCTCTTCCTTGCGAGCCTCGCGCAGCGACTCCTTCCTGCCCTCTCGGCTCGTGCTCTCCCAGCGGTTCTTGATGTCGTCCATTTTCGTGAAGCTAATCGGTCGTTCACGATTGCCTCGATTCGACTTGATTATTGTCGTCTCGGTCTCAACTTCTGCGAGAAGAAAGAGAGAAAAAATTATTATTACAGGCGAATGAATTAAATTAAAAACAAAAAAATTTACACAGTCGATATATAACAAGGCCCGTACTCGGTGCGTGTGCGATCATTCGTCAAGCAACGTTACATTATGCATAAATATATATGTTAAAGTACTCGTATGTACGTACGTACGTACGCACGGGGCAACTAATTGGTAACGCTCTACAAACGTCGTAATAGCGCGCAAAACTTTTCGGGAAGTTAGCGAGCCGTTTAAATGGGCGTTCGGAGATATATACACTTCTGCATCTCTCTCTTATACGTTGCGTTACTCGATCTCTTTAATTTGTAACGCACGCGTATACGAGTGTGTCTATATGTGAGTGTATGCGTGTACAGAGAGGCAGAGAAAGTATACATCAAAACGCGTACACTGACACACAAAGGAGGATACGCGTGCGCTACACAGCACTCGTATACAGATAGAATAGTTGCAACTTTATTTATACGTATGTAAAGTATCGCCGCTTGCGTAATGATCGCACAGACTCTGTGTATGTGTATTAAATGCTTTCCGGGCTCCTTTACCTTCTGTTTCCTCCTCTTCGATCTCCTCGTCGCTCTCGCTGGATTCTTCGTATGGTATTCCATTGAGAGCGTCGTCCGTCACGCCGATGTCCATACCCTTCGCTTGGAATCTACGTACATGGACGGAAACGCATCGTATCAAAAATTTGCACTATTATAGTATCGATTTTTTTCATCTAAATTACACTCACTTGGCTAATTTACTGAGTATACTGGGCGACCTCTTGACGGCCACTTGAGACGGAGACCTTTCGATCTCGTTTAAGTGGTTGTCGTGGTTGTTGGCCTTTTCGAAGACTTGGAAGCGTGACTTGACGTTGAGCGCCGAGAGCTCCTCGAGCCCGAGATCGGGCTTGTCCGAAGCTGCGAAGCGAATCGAATATATCATGTTAAAAAATTGAGCTTTCTTCGGGTTGAATAGGTAATAAAACGGCTGGTGGACGGGTTTTTATTAGATTTCAACGCGAATTAATTAATAAAACGTATGTAGGCGATCGATTCGGATTATAGCTGCGCGTGTGTCGTCTGTACAGCGGCACGCGATACTAAATCTAGTTAGTGGTTAATTCGACCGAGGATGCTCTTTAAAACTTGGTAAACACAAGCACACACGCTACACTGTTATGTGGCACTCGAAAATTCAATGTATACACACAATGTTAGATTAGCTGGAATAATCATCGGTGATTTCGTTGGTTATTGTTATTATCATTTATTTAGATTCTCGTTACTATTATTATTGTTGTGAGTTTATAAATGGAAGGGGTCGACTGTGTAGCACGACGCACAGCTCGAGCTCCAATGTTTATGTTATTGATAAATCCAAGTCACAAAAAAAAAAACAACAACAGCAGCAGCAGTGATGTCAGCACATGTCACACGCACACGCACACGAGGAAAAATTTACCTCTCACGACGTCGGGCGGTAACTCTTTTGGCTGATTTTCGCGTATGATCATCTCCGGCTTTCTAGGGCGCACTACAATGACATTTTTGTACTTTTATTATCCAAAATCTCGTCTTTGATACTGTTTGAACGCGTTATAACCTATGCGCGGTGACATATATTATTGGTTTTTTCTTTTTCGAGAGAGAGAGAAAAGAGACGTTGTTTTAAACTGAACGAGTCAGAGATAAGAGCGCGTGTATTATGTCATTGCCAAAACACGTGTTCGCTCGTGCACAATAACAAAAACTATACGACCCACTGTTATACGCGCGCACACATATGTATTCATCCGTGAGTCACAAAGTGCGCAAAGTTATAAATTCTCATAAATCGAGGAAATAAAAATTTTCTCTCTCTCTCTCTCGTGCGCGATTAAAACCAGTTAAACCGTACGTATATAAGAGCGGCAACGTACACGCATTTATATTATTTTATTCGAACATGAAAATATCTCGAATTCCTTTCTCCGCAGTGTGCATCGGTATCGGCACTGATATATAGGTAATTTCCGATTTTCCATCGCGCGGAGAATTTCTATAAATAATTTTTCATCGTAATATAATAAAGTATACTCACTGGGCTGGTCGCTCTCCTCGACGGGTTTCGGCTGGAACAGCTCCTTGAAGTGGGGCTTGCAGTACAGGGTCGACTCGTGGCTCTCGTAGCTGTCGACGCTGAGCTGCTTGCTGCACTGGCAGCAGCGGAAGCAGTTCTTGTGCCAGACCAGGCCCTCGGCCTTGGTCTGCTCCATCTGGAAGACGACTTTGCCGCAACTGCGACAGTTCGGATTGGCGTCGCCGTTCTGAGCGACCTGCGCGAAAAAAAACAAAAGGCAAAAAATCGGATTTAGATCTGTGTACGAGCGCGAGCCGAAAATTATAGGCGCCCGTAATCGTATCGCACGCGCCTTTTCTCGGAAGTCGATCTATATGGCGTACAAGTTGCAGATCGCGGCACGCGCACTTGTCTTTTTTTCGTCCGTTTGTTTGGTTTTGCCATTAATTTATAATAATAAATTCTCGGTACTTTGCAACAAATTAATTGCTGTATAATACGTATCGGTTTTTCAGCGCTGTAGTGCACACAAGCCTCTATACGTGGCATTTATTATGTAGCCACAGTTGCGCGTTGTGTGCGTTGTTGTTGATCGTTACAACAAGCAAACGAGTCGAGCTAGTTAACTACGGCCTTTTTTTTTATCCTCATAACGATATAACGATCTATATGTGCGTCCGCGTGTGTGTGTGTGTGTCTGTGTATTATTGGTCTACTCGTACATATACAAACGCGAAGCAGCTTTCTCGACCATACGTATACGTGCGTATTATGCGATAGACAAATATACCCAGGGGGTGTCGACGGAGCAAATATAACCGGATAATTAGAGCTTTTATTATTAGTTAACATTCAATTGGAAGCGCGAAAAATCACGTGCCGCGAATGAGCGATCGATCGCCGTGTGAAATTGCCATTACCGCGACACGCGTCCCGGACGAAAAAAAATTAACCGACGACGACGACCGGCGAACTTCGGGGTCTCGTTAAAGCGATGAGATAATAAATGCCTCTTTATAGAAGCGGAAACTAGTTTAAGTAACGGGATGATATACGCTATATATGTATATAATGCAGTCGCATCCTCGGGCCGATGCTTAAAAATTTCCGCGCGGGTGGGGGGTAAAACGTTACATTATCGACGACCCGATAGACCACGTTCAAAGGCAGTAAATTAAAATGTTCCCTTTCTGTCTAGCGATCGATCAAAAATCTATTATACGTGCTTCGGACGTTAATGTGCAAACTGTTTTTTCCATGCACAAGCTGAAGAAACTCGAGATCTCGTTGGCTCTTTCGTTCGAGGTTTTTTGCATTACGGAAATTACGAAGCCGGCCATCAGCGAATGTGTCATCGGTTCGCATTTTTGACAAATTTACTAAATTCTTATCTTTACTCGACTTTCCATCATTGGAAATTAATTGGACCTACGACACCGAAATAAAAACAGGTTTCTCACAAAATTAGTACCTTAACTGTACTCTCGATACGCCAATTACCTCGCGATATTTCAACGCATCGATCAACCGATTTTTCAATAAACCGTAAAAAAGAACGCGTATATACACACCATTCCGATCCTTATCTCTCATTGCGCAATATTTATATATACCGCATTCATGTATACTTACGGAATTGAGCTGCTGCTGGACTTTGCTGGCGTCGACCGAGCGTACGTGCAGCACGGCGCCTGATTTTTTCGTCAGCGCGTCGAATTTGTTGAAGCTCGATTTCTGAAAAAACGACACACGACACAACGATTAGAAATATATTTTGCTAAGAATGTACTCAATGACATTGTGCTGTATTTATAGGATCGACGATCGATCGTAGCGGTGGAGTACTCGTTGCTGTTTTTTTGATGATATATATAAAACAATGCTGAGTGTGTGGTCCGTAATGGCATTTATAATATTGCAACGATTCCTGTACAATTATGTTCAATGGGTTCGCACAAAAACACACACCACACAAGCTCGCACGGAAACACACAGTCGCGCTTATTATACATATTATTGTATTATTTAGAGCGTGTGTGTTTCGGTGCCTTATATCGATATGAGTGAATGAAAAAAAAAACTTTACCATTACCTGTACTCGCATCTCTACCTTAATAAAAATTTCACTTGAAAAGGAGATAGCCCATCACCACCACCCCGCGAAACATAATCCAAAGATGCCAAAACTAATAAAATCCAGCGGTGCTACGAGCTGAGAAACGGAAGCGCACGTCGTGCAGCGAGAAAGCGCAAAGCGAAGCAATAATAGCTAAAACTACATACACAAATACGCACACAGTCCAGAAAGCAAAGCTTGGAATGAGAGAGAGAGAAAGCAAACAGACAAGAAAACATTAGATTATGCACATAAATAAACATCTCGGCCGCCGAATCGTTCGATTCCTTATACCTGTAGGTAAAACAATGAGAAAAAGTCTCGAGGCCACACGTGTGCAATACGCTACGCGTTTTATTGGCGAAATGCGTGTAGTATCTAATAAAGCGTATATATGAGAAATCGAACGATGCGATCGGCGTAATGATCGGGGGCGCCGCGCGCGAGCAGCGGCACGAGGCAAAACACACACACACATAGCTAAAGCAGACACCCACACACCAAGAGACAAACATCGGGCTTACATACCACCTGCATGAATTCAACTTGGTTCCTTTGTTTTCTTTTATAACTTATAATACATTACACACACACATATATATAGTTATACCATAAGTCCTACTAAAGGCTTTTTCCTCGAGCAGTCGGCGCGGCGATACGTGCATGTGCAGCGGTAGGCTCTATAGATCCTATAAGCTCGCGAGATGAGGAGAAAGTTTTTGACTGACTCGATAGAGTGAGTTGAGTGAGAGAGAAAGACAATTCGTGTGTGTGTGGTGTGTTGTATATGCAAGCGTATAGCGTCGATTGAAAATTGTGTACTTGTAAACCATAATGTGTGTGAGTGTGTTAATATTATGAGAGTATATCGACAACGAATATTTGAATATAATATCTATAATGTATAATCGCGATGAAAGAACGTCATGCTCCCATTATACACATTAATGCCTGATATTTACAATAATACATGATGTTGCGATTCGATGCGATTGTAATAATGTAATTCGGACGTGATACACAAATATGAGGTACGTTCGTCATTCATGAATGTAATATTTATAATCGTGAATCGAGGTGCTTGCGTGAATTGGTGCACCAGTACTTTTTTAATTTTAATTCAATGTTTCTCGGACCCCTTTGAAAATGTTGTTGCTTCGTTCTTACCTCGAACAGGTCAGCCACGGGCCTTATGCGATCGCTGCAGGAGCGCGTGTATCTTCGCTTGGGACAATCCGACACGGAGCGTTGCAAGTTCGCCAGGTTATTGTACGAGGCTCGCTGTGTTGGTGTATATATGTAGATAGATACATATTTTCTTTTTTAATTAAAAACGTCCGTTTTCTTGTTGTTTATATACATTTTTTTTTACGTTTTTTTTTGCCGTTATTAACAAGCCTTGTTACATTAGGATACATGGAGGATACAATATATGTGTGTAGGTGTGTGGCTGTGTACGTGTGCTCGATCGTGTTTAGAAACTTTATATTATATATATATGGGCAACAATGATATTATGTAGCTCGGAGCGCATGGCGCGCGAGGCGCTCTCACGCTTCACTCAAACGCGGCTGTATACGGCGCCAACGAGTCGAATTTCACGCGCGCGCGCGAACCGACCTTATAACACCCGCAACGTACATTGTTGAAAATATAGCACACACAAGTTGAAAAAAAACCAAAAAAAAAGTCTAGTACCGAAAAATGTCAGCAGCACGCGAGCCCCCAAAGCCGCAAAGAGACTATATACTCTAGGTAAGCCGATCTCTTGCGCGCACCGAATATATATAACATAATACAAACGATAATCTCGAATAAGAAGAGGAAGGAAAAAAAAATTGAATCTTCTCGCGGGGGCGCGCGCGCGAGCGGATACCGCGTCGTCGACACGCCGTATACACTGCAGCTCCGTCTTTATTGTCGCGTGCTCTCGTCGTCGTCGTCGTTGTTGTTATGTTACTGTCGTTTTTATTGCCGTTGTTGCTGTGTGTGAGTGTGTGCAAGCCCCCCAATCGTGTGTCACTTTTTATTTTAAATGCATAGAAGTGAAAGTCAAGTTGTTTGCAATTATCATAGTATGTGTGTGTGTGTGTGTGTCCGTGTCTGTCTACGCCGTAAGTTCCGTAATCCCCAGCGACAATATATATATAAATGAAAATATCGACTTCGTGCTTCGACGTAATTCACGACGACGAGAGCTTTATACTTGCTGCATAGATATAAGCACACGTTTTAATCACGACTCTCATCCAATATCTTGTTTTTATTTCCTCGTAACAGCGATTTGTATTAATATAATCAATATCTTTCCGCATGGCACAAGCCTGCAGTGTATGTGTGTACGTGTGTTTGCGTGTGTGTGTGTAAAAGTGTGGCGACTGTGTGCACGTGTACATTATAAACGTATACAGGCATGAGAAAGAGAATAATATGTGCATATAAGAAAAATAGAGAGAGAGAGAGAGTAAGTGAGTTCTGTCTTTTTTTTTTGGTCTATAATAAATACTTACGAGAGCCTTGACATTAACTGAAGCGAAAACTACGTCACGACCTGTGAAGTACTTGCATCGGTCCTGCTCGTCAAAGCTCAGATCGCCCGTCGATTTTGCTCTCTGCTTATTATAAAACCCCTCGCGCACATTTGTGTGTGTGTGTATTCGTGTGTCGATACACGCGTAATAAAGTTCGAGAGTATTTATTTTTTTTCATTTTTGTAGACACATCGAGGCGAGAGAGATTATACATAAGAGAGAGGTTTGAACGTGAGCGATACGAACGGGGTTGTTAGTCCAGGTAGGTTTTTTTTTGTTTAAGAAGCCGGCATGCAAGGTAGCGTATAAGAAGATGAATGTTTTTTATTAGTCAATTATTACTTTTTTTGTTGCTCTATTTTATGATTTAATTTTTAATTTTTATTAATAATAATTAATTGAATGTAGCTACTGTTGCGCGTCGCGAGGCGCAATTCCTCTTTCTGTTTTTTTTTGTATCGTTTACTCGCAATAAGAATTCAAACGGACCTTTGGAGGAGCCGATTTCTACTGATTATTAGTCGTAATTCGTTATGATATTATTGCTAATCGATCTACATTTCATGTTATTCGAGAAACAATTATCAAATTAAAACGTATTAGTGTAAAGTACTGACCTCGTGATGCCTATTGCTGTCCGAATTCGTGAGCGTGGTGTTCTTGTCGGCGTCGTTCATGTTGGAAACGTCTCCGAAGCTGCGACACTGCAATTAGTCACGCGCGACACACAAACGGGCAAAGAAAAAAAACAAGAAGTAAGCAAAAAACTCAATACATGCAATAAATCGGTAAAAAAGAAAAAAATCGATTTTGGCCTTACCAACTGTTTGATGGACACACCGGTGGCGATGATTTCTTTGTTTGGTTTCTCCAAATCGCCTCGATGCGACGACTCCAGGGCGTACGTCTGTGTCTGCGAGAGATCGGCCCGTCGAGATTACAGAGAGAGGTAAAAGCACGTAACGCAGCATGCGGGCAAACGAAAAAGTAAAGAAAAACACACAACAATGACAACGAGTGGTTTCGTCGGACGTCGACAAAAAAATGTCCAAATATAATTCATATATTAAGTGATATCGTCGAAGGTATGAGAAATTATAAATTGTGCAAAATGGAGTTATATATTATACCCACGCGCGAGAGCAATGGCAAAAAAATGACAACAGCCAACTGGGGCATGCGTGCAAGTGATGTGTTTGTGTGTGTACTACATGTATACGTATGCTATATAGTTATAGTACGATAAAACAAGCGAACTGACGATTAAAAGCGAAAAAGAAGCGGCGGCGCCTTGACTTACCAGCGACTTGACGTTGACATTCGACAGATCGTCCTCGGCAGAGATTTCGATCATCTCCGCCGACGTCTGCCTCGGTCCCGTGTGCATGTTTAAGCTCTCTTTCTTCGACTCTTTTGATTTTAATTTCTTCTTCTGGTTTGTTTTTTTTTCATTTTTTTTTTTTTTTTTTAACGATTTATTTTTGTTTGTTTGTTTGCAGCATCGCAGCAGTAGTAGTGGCACAGCAGATATATAGAAGATATATATAGTTACAGAAGAGACAGAGCGAAATTACACAGCCAGGCAACAATTATTACAGCATGCGTGAAAAATGAAAATATTACATGTATGAGTATTATGAAAGTAGATTTCGAACAATTGCATCAGCGCGTTATATCTTTTGATAAATCGCAGTATATGAAAAATACAAAAAAAAAAAAAACGACGATCAAAAGCTCGTGAACGACGCAGAGTGATCATTCAGATAAATTAAACGTTCCTCGTTATGTTTTATAAAAAGTAGAAAAAAAATCACAACAAATACAATCAGCGCAATGCACAATTCAAACGCAACGATGAGATTCGATATGATAATAACAAAAAAAAAAGAAAATAACACCAATGCAGAGCCGCGATCGATATACAATACACCCGAAATTCCGCCGAGCAAGTCAATCGGAAAGGAAAATAGCGAAAAACTCACCACGGAGATGTTCTCCTTCTCGAGCTCGCTCTTCTTGCTTTTCTTGGTTTTCTTAGTTTTCGTGTGATTCGGCGATGCATCGCTTCCCGCTGTGGCCTCGATCTTCTTCTTTTTCTTCGTCGAGCTCACGACGGAGCTCGTCGTTATGACCTCCTCGCGACTCTCGCTCTGCAATGAAATTTTGGGGACCGATTAATAAATTGATAATGCAAGGAGATGCACAGAGAAAGGGTCAATTGCCTTTATACGTAACGTATATGCACACACGTGTTTCTCGCGATCGCGCCAATGGTCTCGTACATATATAATAAATAAAAATTTCTCTCCTTTTCTCGCTTTATACCTACGAGCTGTCGATCTGCGTGCGTGCAGCTTTGGAGAACGGATGAAGGTATAAGCAGCAGCAGACGCGCGTGAGCATAATGCGCGTTTGCATGCATGCCTGCGCACGAGGAAGTGGATCGATTCTTATTCGAGTATCATCATACATACATACATAACTAAGCGCTATGTATAATATAACGAAGTTTAGGAATAGCGCGTACGCATCCATTTGTGTTTTTTTTTCTCGTACTTCTTCTCTTTCGTATCGGTAATGCAGCCGTATATACGACTATCGTCCGCCTGCCAAAGTCCAAAATTTTCATACGACGATAAGTAAACGCTATATACGCGTGTGTGTGTATTAAAGTGTATCGACATGTTGGATAATTTATAACGACACTACCAGCACTGGATATACATATATACACATATATGAAGGTATTGAAAAATTTATCCCCGCATCTAGAACCGGTTTTTCGCTGGAGTATAAGTCAATGCTCGCGCGCCACCACACGTGTATTATATACCTATACACACGCATGTAGGCGCGCGCGTGTATAGATATCGGTACGTATATATGTACACATTCGAAATAACCAATTTAATTACCATTTTACTTCACGCGTATATTAGGAATATACTTCGTCGTTGTATTATCGAAGTGTGAAAGCTCCGATCTATCGGCCGAGCGAGCGAGCTTCGAGGAAAAAAAGATTTCGATTACTTTTTTTCTCTTCCCCCCGCTGCAACTATGTATATGAAAAAAATTCGCGTTCACGCTGCGTTATGCACACAAACAAATGTATAAGTGAAGTAGCGGTGGAACGAAGTAATAATGGTAATGACGCCGGACACTCGACTATCTACTTGTATATAGCGTAAGTATACTCGCTCGTATAGTACCAAGTGTCATTATTTCATTGTGCGCGTCTTATGTTTATGCGCGTTTTAAATGTAGAGAAAGAAAAGACGTATACGCGTTTCGTTAGACAGTGGCGATAATATAACGAGACGACACTGCACGCCGAGAGTCGTTTAAAGGCTCATCGGGAGTATGTATATACGCGCGAGCGACGCGAATCGTTCAATGAAACATTTGACATGGCGAAAGGAGTATATACTTATATTAGAAGTTAACGACGATACAGTTCGGATCGAAACCTCGAAATGATAGATTTTTTGTTTATCAATGATGTATACGCGTTGATTTCTCGGCAAATGTCGAGCAAACGTGTGTGTTGGTGAGTTTGTACCATATCGCGTTGTGTTTTTTTAGAAAGGAAGAAGCAGCGGCAGCGGCAACAGCTTTAATGAGATTACGGTATTGAGCGAAAGAACTTTGATAGCGTTACGGTATTGAATTCATGAATTTTCGCCTCTTTCACGAGCACACACACATGTACGTACGCGCGTGTGTTTTACTTTATAATAGGCGCGAGCGCGAGCGATATGTGTGCCAGCAGAGAGCCGCCTTCCGCGCACGCAGCGCGCAGCCGATTTTCCGCGATTACGCGTTAAAAGTACACTTATACTCCAGTGGCATACAAGTATTCAACGAATTCGTTCCTCTTTTTAACGATCGATTAGATATATATTTAATATATAATGAAACGAGAGCTGAAAGGGGTGGTGGTGAGGTTACCATAACCCTATATATACCAAACGCGCGTGTGCGGCGCAAGTACGATGATAATAATAATCGGTAAGTGTATATAACACGCCGAGTTTGGAGATCGAGAGAGAAAAAGTAAAGGAGTCAACGAACCTCACGATTTTCAAGCCGACGAGACGAATTTTATAACACAGACGTTCGATCCTGCGTGTGCCCTTATCACTTTATAGCAGTTGTAGCACTCGAGAATAATATCACACGTTTATTTTATTTATTCAATATCCATGTATCACTATGTATCATCACGAGGTAAGCAGTACACACACATCACTGTAGGATATTATATTATACAGGCACACTTTGGTATTTATAATAATAATATGTATAAACACTACATATAATACATAATAATAATAAACATAAGACCGCCGCTCAGAAGGAGCTTAGCTGCAGCAGCAGCAGCAGCAGCGCTCGGTTATTCCGTGCTCTCTTCCACATACCGGACACACACTCGAAGAGAGTCTCTCTCGTTCTCTCTCTCTCTCTCTCTCTTTCGCGACGTGTAAACGAGTTCAACGGACCCACCACTGCCTGTATTTTATATATATGTGTGTATGCTACTACGCTCTCTCTCTACATATATCTTTCACTGCTGCTTATATATGTATATGTGAGTATATTCGCGCGAAGAGTCGTGTATCAAACTCTTCTTCAATTTTCTTACACTTAGATACATAAATATATAATATACAAGCACGATCACATACACAGCGGCAGCAGCAGAGAGTGGTATTATCGACGACACTACTCGAGCACCACCGAAAGAGCACCACCTCGTCGCGATGCGACGAGAAACGTCAAGGAGCGTATAGCTGCCAAATCGGTATATCTCGATCGGCAAAAAAGGGCCGCTACTACCACTACTGCTAGCACCACTGAAATTGGAGCGAAATTATTCCATACACTGTCTATAGCTCAACTGTGCTATACCGCCCCAAAACTTGGTCGCGGGGACCGGGTACCAACGCAAACGCAACACACTGGCGCGGATGCCACTTTATACTAACGCCGTCGGCCTTGAGTCGATTAAATGAGGTTCTCGCTCGCTCCGTGTGTCTGAGTGTCTCTCTCTCTCTCTCTCTCTCTCTCTCTCTAGCGCACATACACACGAGAGCTCCGGTGGTTTTTGTATACATACACACAGACGCGCGGACACACTCACATGGAAGTAGCAACAGCAGCAGGAGCTATAAGGCATAATAATGTGTACCAAGGAACGCATACACACACTTATACACATACACATACACTTACCAGCCGCCGCCGCCGCCGCCGACTACGAGAGAGATAGAGAGAGAGAGAGAGCTGCAGTTGCTTAACGCTCCGCAAAAGAGAGGCAGCTCTTCTTCCATCCCAGGTAAAGGAGGCGCATCGTGCGCATGTATGTGTGTACAAATATATAGGTATACATAGGTATGTAAAGAAAGAGAGGAGAGAGAGAGGGACTGTTGGTTCGGAGGGGCCTTATCCTTATAGCGCACCGGAGTTGGCTTTAAGGTGATTTTGCATTGTTGCCCGATGATTCTGCTTCTGCTGCTGCTGCAGTGCCCTTTTGCAGCGTTTGCATTTTTAATTAAAAAGATCGGTTAATGAAATGAGACGAAGGAGAAGTACAAAGAAATTTTTCCACGAGAAAAATCGTAATTTTTCATTTGCGCCTCTCTCTCTGTCTTCGAGACTCGCGCGACACGCGACGTTGCGCCCAATTTTCGCTATCCGGTTACTCCTCTACTACGACGATGCAATACTGTCGTAATATTCGCGCGCCGTATACGTAATATCAGGTTCTTCGCGAATCTATCTTTCACCGCGATGCACTATCGCGCATCGTTTACGATTTAAATAGACAGACGCTTACCGTCGCTAATAAATATATTTAAAGATCCTCGCGGCCGATCGTTTTTACCCTGCGTAATATACAACGCCGAACAAGCGGTTTTTTACTCGCGACTGCTCTATAACACGCAGATAACATACGAAGTCGATCGCGCAGAAGGGCTACAATACACCCCTCATCAATCCTTGCCCGAGTCGTTTTTGACACAACAATGTATCGCTCTGCAATATAGATCGTCATCTTCTCATATATATATATATCGCGGGAGAGGTGTATAGTAGTATATCTATACGTACACCGGCACGTGCAGCAGCGGGGCCGGATAGGTCGTTTCCTTGCTAACCAGGCCCCGGCATATTATACATTATATATAGTGCCTCCTCTCGGACTCTGTATGGCTGCAGCTGCAGCAGAAAGAAAGAAAGAGAGAGAGAGAGAGAGAGAGAGAGAAATGCATGATGCATCGTTCCACGGACGCTAAACTGACGCTCTAATACTGGGTTTTACCCCGCACGCGCGCGCGTGCGACTTGGAGTACAAGGAGCACACACACACACACGCACATAGTAACGCGCAGAGTATATACACAGGCGCGAATCTTCTCTCTCTATCTCTCTCTCTCTCTCTCTCTCTCTCTCTCTCTCTCTCTCTCTCTCTCGTTCTCGACGTCTTTTTTGCTTATATTTATTTATTTTTCTTTTTTGCTCGATTTTTCACGGATGAACGACCCCGCGCGCTCATTGATTCTCTCTTCTTGTCTCACTATATATACTCGTTCGCTGCTGCTGCTCGGCGATGATAAGTTGATTATATACGCGCGCGCGCGACCCAACTCGTGTGTGTGTACGTATACGGTAGTACGCATGCCGTAAATGTACCACATGCGCGACTTTGTATGTGTGTGTGTGCAAGATATTTAATATATATATACGCGAAAGCGCGCATTACTCTTCGATTATATATTACGTATATGTAGGATAATGTGGAAGCCGCAGCGGTGGCAGCTGAACGAGTTTATTACGGATGGATTGCTCAGTCGCGTCTCATTTCTGATCGTATATTTATCGCATAACGATTTCCGTTAGAATTGGAAGTTGTGCTGTGACTTATACAAATATTTGCGTTTTGCCGCTTGCGGGTTTACGGAATTTAAGGTACACGCCATCTAGCGGTAGCGATTCAAGGTGCCGTTGGCTAATTCGAATAAGCAGACAGTTTTGAAACTTCGAGGATACGTTCTTGGGACTTGGCTATCGACGAAACAAAACAAAATAAAACCGCTGCCAATGTATTGGCAAGTAGCTTCCTCATACTTTTTTTTTAACTTAAAAATAATTTGAAAATATTAATATCATCTTTCTAATTACGAAAGCGAAACGAAAGCGCCTCTCAGCTTTATCGGGTATCTCAAACAAACAATGCAAAAAAAAAAAAAATTTTTTCTTAAATAGAAAAAAAAACGTTTCGTTTATCGATAAATGAATTTTTCTGGCTTCGTCGCTATGTCATAACGAAAAAAATAAGCCCTCCCCCGTCACGATACGTGCTACCGTTATCAAGGAATCACTCTACACAG